CCAGATAAAATCTTGCGACTTGTGACGGCCGGCCGCCCAACAACCTGCCCGCTTGACCCTATCCCCTCCTCTCTTCTCCAGACCATCTCCGATGACCTTCTCCCTTACCTCACCTCGCTGATCAACTCATCCTTGACCGCTGGCCATGTCCCTTCCATCTTCAAGAGAGCGAGAGTTGCACCCCTTCTCAAAAAATCAACACTCGATCCCTCTGATGTCAACAACTACAGACCAGTATTCCTTCTTTCTTTTCTCTCCAAAACTATTGAGCGCACTGTCTTTAGCCAACTCTCTTGCTATCTCTCTCAGAATGACCTTCTTGATCCAAACCAGTCAGGTTTCAAGACTGGTCATTCAACTGAGACTGCTCTTCTCTGTGTCACGGAGGCTCTCCGCACTGCTAAAGCTAACTCTCTCTCCTCTGCTCTTGTCCTTCTAGACCTGTCTGCTGCCTTTGATACTGTGAACCATCAGATCCTCCTCTCCACCCTCTCCGAGCTGGGCATCTACGGCGCGGCTCACTCTTGGATTGCGTCCTACCTGACCGGTCGCTCCTACCAAGTGGCGTGGCGAGAAGCTGTCTCCGCACCACGTGCTCTCACCACTGGTGTCCCCCAGGGCTCAGTTCTAGGCCCTCTCCTATTCTCGCTATACACCAAGTCACTTGGCTCTGTCATATCCTCACATGGCCTCTCCTACCATTGCTACGCAGACGACACACAACTAATCTTCTCCTTTCCCCCTTCTGATAACCAGGTGGCGAATCGCATCTCTGCATGTCTGGCAGACATATCAGTATGGATGACGGATCACCACCTCAATCTGAACCTTGGCAAGACGGAGCTGCTCTTCCTCCCGGGGAAGGACTGCCCGCTCCATGATCTCGCCATCACGGTTGACAACTCCATTGTGTCCTCCTCCCAGAGTGCAAAGAACCTTGGCGTGACCCTGGACAACACCCTGTCGTTCTCCGCTAACATCAAAGCGGTGACCCGATCCTGCAGGTTCATGCTCTACAACATTCGCAGAGTACGACCCTACCTTACACAGAAAGCGGCACAGGTCCTAATCCAGGCACTTGTCATCTCCCGTCTGGATTACTGCAACTCGCTGTTGGCTGGGCTCCCTGCCTGTGCCATTAAACCCCTACAACTTATCCAAAACGCTGCAGCCCATCTGTTGTTCAACCTTCCCAAGTTCTCTCATGTCACCCCGCTCCTCTGCACACTCCACTGGCTTCCAGTTGAGGCTCGCATCTACTACAATACCATGGTGCTTGCCTACGGAGCTGTGAGGGGAACAGCACCTCCTTACCTTCAGGCTCTGATCAGACCCTACACCCAAACGAGGGCACTACGTTCATCCACCTCTGGCCTGCTAACTCCCCTACCTCTACGGAAGCACAGTTCCCGCTCAGCCCAGTCAAAGCTATTCGCTTGCTCTGGCACCCCAATGGTGGAACAAGCTCCCCCACGACGCCAGGACAGCGGAGTCACTGACCACCTTCCGGAGACACTTGAAACCCTACCTCTTTAAGGAATACCTGGAATAGTATAAAGTAATCCTTCTACCCCCCCCCCTCCCCCTCCCCCACCCCCCCATAAAAAAAAGTGGTTGTCCCACTGGCTATCATAATATGAATGCACCAATTTGTAAGTCGCTAAGAGCGTCTGATAAATGATGTAAATGTAAATGTAAATGTAATATACTACAGTAATGTCTGCAAAAACACAACAGTAAATACAACAGTATACAACAGTAATGTCTGCAAAAACACGACAGTAAATACTACCGTATACTACAGTAATGTCCACAAAAACACTACAGTAAATACTACAGTTAAGTCTGTAATAACACTACAATGAATACTATAGTACAGTGCCCTCCATAATTATTATTATATACTCCAAAAGTATGGATTTGAAATCAAACAATGACTATGAAGTTAAAGTGCAGATTGTCAGCTTTAATTTCTGGGTATCCATATCGGGTGAACCGTTTAGAAATTACAGCACTTTTGTACATAGTCCCCCCATTTTAGGGGACCAAAAGTATAGGGACAAATTCACTTATATGTGTATTAAAGTTGTAAAAATGTAAGTATTTGGTCCCATATTCATAGCTAATAATTAATCGTGAATATTGAGGAGTGAGAACGTTACAGAAGCTACAGGGGAGTTACAGGGGAGCTTAGCATTTTTTAAGGGGTATGATATTTGCGCGTCTATAACTTTCTCACTCATCATTATTCACGATTCATTCAGGATTATCCGTAATCATGGTAGCATCCACATTCATATAGAAGTGTTTAGAAACATATTCTATACATGTTTACAGTAAAGGTGACTCTAAGAAGGCTGTGCACCGGCCGCGACGGGGTCAGGGCATACATGGCTAGCGTGTCAGGGTAGGGGAGGAATGGCCGCATGTAGCTCAGTGATAGAGCATGCGTCAATGCCAGGGTGTGGTGCAATCCATGGGGGACAGTATGAAACAAATTAAGAAAATACATAATAAGAAATGACTAAAAAATAAAAAACATTTATATATTAATGATTCACTAACTGTAAGCTTGGATAAGAGTGTCGCTAGATGCTAAAATGTATGTAATGTAATACATTCTTACCAAATACTTTGCGCACGATATTTGAAACACAACCAAGACAAACAGCAATGCATCCACCAAGTCACAAGCTGATGAGTCATTGGTATGATAGGGACCAATACTTCCTTTTCATACTACTCACAAAAAGTGGAGTCCCCTACTTTGTCCCTAAAATGCGAGGGGAAAATTGTGCTGTAATTTCTAAACAATTCACCCAATGTGGATAAAAATACACTCAAATTAAAGCTGACAGGCTGCACTTCAACCTCATGGTCATTGTATAGAGCCAAAAGACAAAATATTTTTTTATAAATATGATAATACTACAGTTTTAATAACATAGTAACCTATAATATTTTTTCATGTGGGTATAACGACAGGAGCTGTTTGCTGATTTGACAGCTCCAATGCAGTTACCTCAAATATCGCCTACAGACAGACAGACAGACAGACAGACAGACAGACAGACAGGCAGACACACAGACAGACAGACAGACAGACAGACAGACAGACAGACAGACAGACAGACAGACAGACAGACAGACAGACAGACAGACAGACAGACAGACAGACAGACAGACAGACAGACAGACAGACAGACAGTCAGACAGACAGAACAGTGCTCCGGTACCACTCACCTGAGACACAGGGCCTGAGGAGCTACCACTCACCATTGACCTGCTGCTCTGCTCAGTACCTGGGGGAAATAATAGGATCAAATATTCACAATCTCAAAAACAAAACTACGCAAAACAATTTAGACATGTTGTACTAAATGTAAGAACAGCACAGCATAGAGTGTTGTCTTCAACATGAACAAACCAGAGAAATTCCTGCTCCTAAAAGAGAAGTTGTCAGAAGCCTTATTCTCTACCACCTGACATTTGCTATACATGAATTGCTTGGTCAGTAATGGTTGTGCTGTAGTTAATTCAGTAGATGCAAAGTGAAGTGGGTTTGGTGATGCTAGTGAGACGCTAGTGAGAGCTTCAATGGGGAGGGGTGACACAGTCCACAACAACATAAATGTGGGAAGACATTTGCTCGAGAGGGAGCCCTGGTCCCACTGCCGTTGGTAGCGTGAGAAAACATTGTTTTGGTAACTGATGCACATTTTATTTTATTTTTACCTTTATTTAACTAGGCAAGTCAGTTGAGAACAAATTCTTATTTACAATGACGGCTTACACCGGCCAAACCCGGACGACGCTGGGCCAATTGTGCGCCGCCCTATGGGACTCCCAATCATGGCCGGTTGTGATACAGCCTGGAATCGAACCAGGGGGTCTGTAGTGACGCCTCAAGCACTGAGATGCAGTGCCTTAGACCGCTGCGCCACTCGGGAGCCCACATAAGCAAAGGATGAAGAGATAATGTACTGTAAACGAAGCAAGTCCACTCACAAGGACATTTACAGTAGTATTCACACCCAATGACCTTTCCACATTTTGTTGTGTTACAAAGTGGGATTAAAATGGATTTAATTGTCATGTTTTGTCGACGATGTACACAAAATACTCTGTGGAGAAAAATTCTAACATTTGTCAAAATAAATGTATGGAAAATAAAAAACGAATATATTTTAATTAGATAAGTATTCAACCTCCTGAGCCAATACATGTTAGAATCACCTTTGCCAGCGATTACAGCTGTGAGTCTTTCTGGGTAAGTCTCTAAGCGATTTGCACACCTGGAATGTACAATATTTGCCAAATATTATTTTACAATTTCTTCTAGCTTTGTCAAGTTGGTTGTTGATCATTGCTAGCCTTGCCATAGATGTTCAAGCTTATTTAAGTCAAAACTGTAACTAGGCCACGAACATTCAATGTCGTCTTGGTAAGCAACTCCAGTGTGTATTTGGCCTTGTGTTTTAGGTAATTGTCCCGATGAAAGGTGAATTTGTGTCTCTGTGTCTGTTGGAAAGCAGACTGAAACGTTGCTGTTTTTGTCAAGCAAAACAAGACAATTAGTGAAACAGAGTTGGCATGATAGCACAAACAGACTGACACTTAGGCTAGGTAAAATGATGGATTTTACTTCTTTGAGATTCATTGCAAAAACAAACAAGCACCACTAAGTATTGCCAATTGTGCTGTCTTCTTAGAAGTAATTACCATGAAGTGCTGTGTAAATACCAGACAAACACTAGCTAAACAAGCACTGTAAATGATCAAGCTTTACAGAAAATTCTCATAGGAAATCATAGTGTTTTGGCGTAATAGGATATAGCGTAATGCAGAATATTGTACTGACTCCTTTGGGAAATATGGGTATAAGCTTTGTGGATACAGTATCAGTTTTGAGCACAAGCAATCTCACTGTCTAGGTGTCTCTCCTGCACACACATGCACACAAAATAAAACACACAAAACAAACGCAATTTTGCAGCATACTAGCCTTTCACTCTGTCCAGTGTTAGCTTTTTGTTGGCCAGGGAGGTTACGGCCATGCTCATGCTTAGGGACTCTTTGCTCCCACTCTGAAATAAAAGGGAGTATGGAGAGAAAACATCAGAGGGTTTATAGGTTATGCAACAGCATAGAAAGTCACAGTCAGTCCCATAGTTAGACTCACCATGGTGACTATGACATCCTGTGGTCGCAGACGTTGCTTCTGGAGAACTGGGGTCAGTGCTTCCTGTAGAGACTTACTGGACTTTACCACAATACCCACTGTCTTCCCTGTGGACACTATCTCCACCCTGAGAAATAGACACAACTTGGCATTGGTATGATTTTGTTTGTTTGTAGGGTTTATTTCATTACAGGATAATAAAAGTGGACATGTTGTAAAATATCAGGATGTGGACACTCACGCAAAAGTCACCCTGAGCTCCAGAAAGACCTGCTGCTCCTTCAGAACTGAACTGTCCTGATCCAAAGAGAGGGGCTTCTGGGGAGAGACCGGAGAACAGAAGGTGAATAAATAGCACAGGTACATCAACTATACTAGGCATAGAAACTCTCCAGTCTCCTCCAACTAAGATGCTGCTGAGTCTGACAGACAGACACCATATTGGGTGAAACCAATCGTCTGCATGAGAGGTTGCTTGATTGATTGATTTTATAAGCCACTTACAAAAATACATATACACACAGTACATATTCAAACACACGATAAAGTCAATGATTTATTTCCATTGTGGTCCCTTGGGGTCCCATTGTGTTACATACTCTACACTCTTAGAAGGAAAGGTGCCTGGAATAACCTTTTGGGATTCTAAAAATTGCCACACCAGTGGAACCTTTCCAGGTCAAAAAGGTTCCTTGAGGAACACCTCTGAAAAGGGTCTTCGAGGAACCCCTGTGTAAAAGTTTAAACCGGAAACTTTTTGTGATGGGATGGGTTCAATAGTCCGCCACAGTGGATGTGTCATAATATCCATAAAAACACAGAAATGGTTCCAATTGTTTTTCCGCCATATATTTTTCACATTGTGAATTTTACAAAAAAATCGAATTAATTGTGTGTTTGGTGTAGACTTACCTTGGCGTGACAATTTGATAGCTGTGTAATTCTCTCTCAGACAAGATGAGTCGCTATGCTAATTATTGATGAAAGTGACCTTGTCCGACCGAGAGAGATTTGCGCAGTTATCTAAATGTCATACCAGGGTAAGCCTACATGAAACACAGACCTTATATGAAGTAGTTCTAAAATCACAGAGGGAAAAATGAATGGTGGAAAAATGACTGGAACCATTTCCAGGTTTTATGACTCATAATGTGGTATTAAATGTTGAACCTTTTTAATAATATATTGTAGAGGTGGCAGCCTATCAGGAGATTAGAGGCGTGGCTTATTGGAGGCGTGGCTTTCCTATAGTTATTCTTTGCCACCTGTTAGAGTAAATGTCATTCCTGTTCGCCATTTTAAGTTTATACACTGCAGATTTCAATTTTCTTGACTTTTGCTATTTCGAACTGTCTGCATCTGGGTTTTATCCTGAGTAGTGATAATTGAGGAACTCTAAGCTGAATTGAAGCTACAAAACTGTCAGTGTTCAAACTTAACATATGATGACAATACAACAGAACCGATGAACAGGGATGACATTTACTCTAACGCCTTCAAGCTCAACTCTGGATGTCCAAGTCAGTTCCACTGCATTTTTTTCATTGTTCCCCTCTAATCAGGGACTGATTTAGACATGGGACACCAGGTGTGTGCAATTAATTATCAGGTAGAACAGAAAACCAGCAGGCTCTGGACCTCATAGGGTAAGACATATTCCACAGCTGGCCTCTGCTCTGCATGTAGGAGCCGATTCTGACTGAAGCTCACCTTGTCCTTGCCCTGCAGGTAGATTATGACATCCGAGAGGGGGAGGCCTCTCTTCTCACAGAGCCCAGTGAGCATGGTGCGGATGGAGAGGCCAGGTCGGGCTGGTGCCAGGGAGGCAGTGCCATCAGGCAGGAACACACAGCAGTACTTCTCAGCCTGGCCCGCACGCCAACGCTCCCTCTCCAACTGCTGGGGGGAAAGGGGGTAAAAGGCACAAGTTAATTCAAAGTGAAATGTTGACAACAATTATGTGATAGTTAGAGCTTGGTGTGTGTATGCTCACCTCTACTGCTTTGAGGAGAGACCCCGACCTGGCTGTGCTCTGTAAGACTGCAGCATGGTCAGCAAGCTCGGCTAAGGGAATGGGTATTCATCAGACCAGAAAAGTAATATACTGTACTGTAAATTCTGAACCAATGCTATCCCCATTGTATTATACCTCCCCACGATCCCCTCTTTTCCCGTCCTTTCTCACTGGTCAGCTTGTTCTGTGGAGCTCCTTTTCTCTTCTCTGCTCCCTCGTCCAAATCCAAAGGTAGAGACTTTCCTGGTTTGACCTTTGGTTTCTATGAACAATACTCAGTCATGAAGTGATGCGTTGGTTTATGCACAAACATTATAGCACATTTTTACAGTACTGTATGGTCAGGGCTGGCCCTAGCCTTTTGGGAGCCCTAAGCGAGATATGGTTGAGGGGCCCCACACCTCGCAGGCAAAACATTTTAGTGGCCTCCCTCTTGACGTCTGAGATAAACATTTTAGTTTTAAAGTACATTTCCTGCAATTCTACACATTTTGCCATGGGGTGGAGATAACATTTATCAGTTTCACAGCTAATTTCCTGCAATTCTACACATTTTGCCATAACTTATGCCATGTTAATATGATATCTGAGTGAGAGTGACTAACAAAATCAATGGGGGCCCCCTGGAGGTCAGGGCCCCTGGGCACGTGCCCTTTGTACCCGGTCGTTAATTCGGACATGATTACTACAAGTTTAGATAGTTGGCTAGACTAATTTACCGATCTAAAATGTTTTGGCTGATATGGGCTATTTGAGGGACTGTCAGCAACTGACATAACAAGAGGAAAACTGCTGATGCACAACCAAATTTCGAAACTGCACCTTCTGTATTCTACTATTCTAACTCTCAACAAACAGTAAGTTGAGACCCCAACTGAGTTCCAATTGTATTATTTTTTTTGTACGCTTATGTCGCTTATACCTGGGGTCGGCCTTGTGTACAGTACCTCTTTGGGTTTCTGGTCAGCCTTGGGTCTGTTACTAAGAGCGGGGATGTCAGTCCCAGCAGTCTTTCTGGTTGCTGTGCTCTTCAAGCGGGGGCCCAGCTCAGGTAGAGGCCTGCCCTCCACATTGGCCAACATGCAGCTCTGGTAGAGCTGGGAGCGAACAAAGCGTGTGTAGCTGTCAAACTTCATCAGCTTGAAGATCTGAAGTGAGGGAGAGAGAGAGAGGAAGCTTTGTCAAGTCAGGCAACACAACCATCTTTGTTACTAAACTCAGTTTTCATGGCATTTCATATTTTTCCTGCTATGTTTCCCACAGCAAAAGATGACCATGCTACTGTATGAGTACTTAATAGAGGAATATTTCATTATTTTCTAATGAGGCTTGGTATAGTAGATGATGTGGCCATGGTGGTGTACCTGTTGTTGAGCCTTGTGATACATGTCAGGGTGAGGGTTTCTCACTTCCCGCTCCTCGATGCGGACTGTGTCATCAATGTTGATGGGATGGGAGGCACTGCCTGAGAGGTAACTGCTGTAGATGGAGCGAGCCTCCTGATTTAACTGGACAGAAGAGGAACATGGTCAAACCCTGACTGATAGAGACCCCTCTTAGAAATAGCACATGGGGTAATCTTGAAGCTGTCAAAACCCATTTTCATCTGTGAAGTACCTTCTCTTTCTGATTGGCTGGGATCTGTCTGAACTTTTCACATGCCTGCCAAAATAAGATGTTCTCAGCACTGACCTCCGACTTCAGGAAAGCCTGTGGGTTTAAGCAGAAAAACAGCCCTGTCACCAATCTTTACCCAACAACAATACCTTATCACCAGGCATAATCTTCAGCCTGTTTTGACTCTGAAAACTGTGGGTAGTTTCTTAAGATGGAAACCTCTTGCACAGTGTTTTTATTGGATCTTAGCACTACCTTAAATTCGACTTACAGTATACCCAGCAAACCAAAATTGGTCTGAGAACGTTCCCAGAACATTCATTAAGTTGCCCCAAAAACTGTCTAGTTGTGCTGATGATTATGCAATGTTTGAATAAAACATTTACCTGATGTTGCAAGAACTTTCCCAGAACACATTTTGTAATTACATCACCTGGAAACCTAATAAGAACCTTAGGGGAATGTTCTCTGTTGGTTGTTACAGATGTTGTGCACAACATTTTAGTGAATGTTAGGAGAACATTCCAAGGATATTTCATTTCAAACATTTTCAGCAAAAAAAAACATTTTGTTATCAAGAACATTACTTGAATGTTTTTGGGACGTTGTCATCCTAATGTTAGATAAAACCCTAACTAGAACTTAATGGGAATGTTAGCTAATGTCCTGGGAATGTTCTCGGTTAGCTGGGTATTGTTTACTCTGATATTTCTGTCTCACTCACACACATTCCTCTGCTCTCCACAGGCCTAATAATCCAGACTGGTGAATCTCATCTCTTTTTCTCATAAATCCTCCAGCCCTCAGGAGGAAATCAGACGCCCACGTGGTTCTGACTATTAAAGTGACTCTTGCGTGGGCCTCTTTCTCACTTTAAATTCTTGGCAATTTGACAATCAATCTTTGTGGCAGAGCTTTGTATTGTCTCCCAGTCAGTAAAATGCTATCATTTAAATAATGTTTTGTGTTTGCTTTTCATGTATTGTGTAATTGATGTGTATATAGATACAGTATGTAGAGTGTAATTGTTGTTTTTGATTTTTGCTAAAGAAATCGTTGTCGTTCCTTTTAGATGACAATGTAAGTGTTCAAAATAACTTCAGTTATCTCTTCAAATCAATGGGCCCTCCTTGAAACAAACACACAAGACCCATAAACACACAAGCACAAATACACTGTATACTAAAGCTCATCATGAATAAGCCTGAAAGATTGTGTACAGTCAGGTTGAGGTCTTACCGTGAAGTAGAGGACCCCAGTTGGGTCCTGTAGGAGCCTCTCAAAGCTCACAGCCCAGCTAGCCACCTTCCCCACACCACTGGCTCCATCACTGGGCACAGTGGGGAGACTGGAGTTACTGCTGGAACACAGGCCCACACTGGCCCCACGCTCCTCTGGTACCACATTCAGCTCTGGAGACATTAACAACAGGGCTGTACTGGATGTAATACAGAAACTAGCATGTACGTTTCACTTTGAAATATGATCTGTGTCTTCTCCTGTACTTGAACATAATAATGGGATTTTGAATAGTGAAAACTTTAAACTAATCACTGAGTTGTGAAAATGTACAGGAAATTAAAAGATGAATGTACAAGAGAACAAGTCCTGAGAAACTCCCTCACGTGACTTTCTCTCACATACAGCTGTCAGCTATTGAGGAGGAAGTCATTGTGGTAACACTGGAACATCAAAGCCAGACAGGCTCACTTTGACAAACAGCAAACATTACTTACAGTGAGCTCCAAAAGTATTGGGACAGTGACACTTTGGATTTGAAATGATACAGTGTCTATGAGGTTGAAGTGTAGACTGTCAGCTTTAATTTGAGGGTATTTTCATTCATATCGGGTGAACCGTTTAGAAATTACATCACTTTTTGTACATAGTCCCCCCATTTTAGAGAACCAAAAGTATTGGGACAAATTCACTTATGTGTATTAAAATAGTCAAAAGTTTAGTATTTGGTCCCATATTCCTAGCATGCAATGGTTACATCAAGCTTGTGACTCTACAAACTTGTTGGATGCATTTGCTGTTTGTTTTGTTTGTGTTTCAGATTATTTTGTGCACAATATAAATGAATGTTAAATAATGTATTGTGTCATTTTGGAGTCCATTTTATTGTAAATAAGAATATAATTTTTATAGATACTTCTACATTAATGTGGATGCTACCATGGTTACGGATACTCCTGAATGAATCATGAATAATGATGAGTGAGAAAGTTACAGACGCACAAATATCATACCCCCAAGACATGCTAACTTTTCACTATTACAAAAAAAAATGTTGGGGGGGGGGGGGTATGATATTTGTGCTCACTCATCATTTTTCACTTTTACATATTATGTGTGTCTTCTCCTGTACTTGAACCTAGTAATGTGATTTTGAATACAGAAAACTTTAATCTAATCACTGAGTTGTGAAAATTTACAGGAAATTAAAAGATGAATGTACAAGAGAACAAGTCCTGAGAAACTCCCTCGTGACTTTTTCTCACATACAACTGTCAGCTATTGAGGAGGAAGTAATTGTGGTAACACTGGAACTTCAGAGCCAGACAGGCAGGTGAACCAAATAGACAGTGCATTCTTCAGCTTTGACAAACAGTAAACACTACTTACAGTGAGCTCCAAAAGTATTGGGAAAGGGACATTTTTGTTGTTGTTTTGGCTCTGCGCTCCAGCACTTTGGATTTGAAATGAAACAGTGACTATGAGGCTGAAGTGCAGAATGTCAACTTTAATTAGAAGGTATTTCCATCTACATCGGGTGAACCGTTTAGAAATTACACCACTTTTTGTACATAGTCCCCCCAGTTTAGGGAACCAAAAGTATTGGGACAAATTCACTTATGTGTATTAATGTAGTCAAAAGTTTTGTATTTGGTTCCATATTCCTATCACGCAATGATTACATCAAGCTTGTGACTCTACAAACTTGTTGGATGCATTTGCTGTTTGTTTTGGTTGTGTTAAAGATTATTTTGTGACCTAGATGCCCTCAATCTCACACAAATTATCAACGAACCTACCAGGTACAACCCTAAATCTGCAAACATGGGCACCCTCATAGATATCATCCTGACAAATTTACCCTCTAAATAGGATCTCAGCGATCACTGCCTTATTGCCTGCGTCCGTAATGGGTCCGCGGTCAAACGACCACCCCTCATCACTGTCAAACGCTCCCTAAAACACTTCAGCGAGCAGGCCTTTCTAATTGACCTGGCCCGGGTATCCTGGATGGATATTGACCACATTCCGTCAGTAGAGGATGCCTGGTTGTTCTTTAAAAGTGCTTTCCTCTCAATCTTAAATAAGCATGCCCCATTCAAAAAATACAGAACTAAGAACATATATAGCCCCTGGTTCTCCTCAGACTTGACTGCCCTTGACCAGCACAAAAATATCCTGTGGCGTACTGCATTAGCATCGAACAGCCCCTGCGATATGCAACTTTTCATGGAAGTCAGGAACCAATATACACAATCAGTTAGGAAAGCAAAGGCTAGCTTTTTCAAACAGAAATGTGCATCCTGTAGCACTAACTACAAAAAGTGTTGGGACACTGTAAAGTCTATGGAGAATAAGAGCACCTCCTCCCCACTGCACTGAGGCTAGGAAACACTGTCATCACCGATAAATCTATAATAATCGAGAATTTCAATAAGCATTTTGCTACGGCTGGCCATGCTTTCCACCTGGCTACCACTACCTCGGCCACCAGCTCTGCACCCTCCGCTGCAACTTGCCCATGCCCCTCCGCTTCTCCTTCACACAAATTCAGACAGCTGATGTTCTGAAAGAGCTGAAAAATCTGGACCCCTACAAATCAGCTGGGCTAGACAATCTGGACCCTTTCTGTCTAAAATTAGCTGCCGAAATTGTCGCAACCCCTATTACTAGCCTGTTCAACCTCTCTTTCGTAACGTCTGAGATCCCCAGAGATTGGAAAGCTGCCAAGCTCTTCAAAGGGGGTGACACTCTAGATCCAAACTGTTACAGACCTATATCCATCCTGCCCTGCCTTTCGAAAGTATTTGAAAGCCAAGTTAACAAACAGATCACCGACCATTTCGAATCCCACCGTACCTTCCCCGCTATGCAATCTGGTTTCCGAGCTGGTCATGGGTGCACCTCAGCCACGCTCAAGGTCCTAAATTATATTATAACCGCGATCGATAAAAGACAGTACTGCTCAGCCGTCTTCATCGACCTGGCCAAGGCTTTCGACTCTGTTAACCACCGCATTCTTATTGGCAGACTAAATAGCCTTGGTTTCTCAAAGGACTGCCTCGCCTGGTTCACCAACTACTTCTCAGATAGAGTTCAATGTGTCAAATCGGAGGGCCTGTTGTCTGGACCTCTGGCAGTCTCTATGGGGGTGCCACAGGGTTCAAATCTCGGGCCAACTCTATTCTCTGTGTATATCGATCATGTCGCTCTTGCTGCGGGTGACGCTTGGATCCACCTCTATGCGGACGACACCATTTTGTATACATCTGGCCCTTCATTGGACACTGTGTTAACAAACCTTCAAACGAGCTTCAACGCCATACAACACTCCTTCCGTAGCCTCCAACTGCTCTTAAACACTAGTAAAACTAAATGCATGCTCTTCAACCGAACGCTGCTTGCACCCGCCCACCCGACTAGAATCACTACTCTCGGCTAGTATGACCTAGAGTGTGTGGACAACTACAAATACCTAGGTGTCTGGTTAGACTGTAAACTCTCCTTCCAGACTCACATTAAGCATCTCCAATCAAAAGTTAGATCTAGAATCGGCTTCCTATTTCGCAACAAAGCCTCCTTCACTCATGCTGCCAAACATGCCCTCGTAAAACTGACTATCCTACTGATCCTTGACTTCGGCGATGTCATTTACAAAATAGCCTCCAACACTCTACTCAGAAAATTGGATGTAGTCTATCACAGTGCCATTCGTTTTGTCACCAAAGCCCCATATACTACCCACCATTGTGACCTGTACGCTCTTGATGGCTGGCCCTCACTACATATTCGTCACGAAACACACTGGCTCCAGGTCATCTATAAATCACTGCTAGGCAAATCCCCGCCTTATCTTAGCTCACTGGTCACCATAGCAACACCCACCCGTAGTCTGCGCTCCAGCAGGTACACCTCACTGGTCATCCCCAAAGCCAACACCTCCTTTGGCCGCCATTCCTTCCAGTTCTCTGCTGCCAATGACTGGAACGAACTGCAAAAATCTCTGAAGCTGGAGACTCTTATCTACCTCACTAACTTTAAGCATCAGTTGTCAGAGCAGCTTACCGATCACTGCACCTGTACACAGCCATTCTGAAATTAGCCCACCCAACTACCTCATCCCCAAATTGTTATTTATATTGCTAATTTGCACCCCAGTATCTCTATTTGCACATCATCTTTTGCACATCTATCATTCCAGTGTTAATACTAAATTTACCCCATATGTAACTCTGTGTTTGTTGTTTTTATCGCACTGTTTTGCTTTATCTTGGCCAGGTCGCAGTTGTAAATGAGAACTTGTTCTCAACTGGCTTACCTGGTTAAATAAAGGTGAAATAATTTTTAGTTATTTTTTAATGTAGGGGCTTCATAACATATGCATGCACCATTTTTCCGTTATTTATTTTGTATACATTTTTGAAACGAGTTATTTTTTTCATTTCACTTCACCAATTTGGACTATTTTGTGTATGTCCATTACATGAAATGCAAATAAAAATTCATTTAAATTACAGGTTGTAATGCAACAAAATAGGAAAAACACCAAAGGGGATGAATACTTTTGCAAGGCACTGTATATGTGTGAATATGTTGAGAGCGAAGGACACAATGTGCTACAGGGCCATTCACTTATTCATACACATCTCTGATTTACAGCTCCTCAAAGCACTCAGCTGAAAGTGTGTGTGTGTGTGTATGTGTGTGTGTGTGTGTCTGGCCATCCATATGTATAACTGTGAGAAAGCAGACCATCTATTGTCTGGTCCAGTCTACTGTCTGGTCCGACATGTTCAGTAAAAAAAAAACGAATGTATCAACTCACCTCCGTCTGACACTGCCAGACTCTGTAACCACAAACATAGACCAGTGAATACATCTGCTTTGGATTAGGGTAACAACAACCAGATACACAATGATTTTACATCTAAAGTAACATATTTTTAGTTGGAATAAAACCTCTACTCTTTAGCAGACTTTAGAGCTTAGACAGTGAGACTGCGAGACAGACAGACAGATCAAATCACAAAACACACTAACAAGTCTAGGCCCACTTACTGCACGTCCATTCGGTATTCCAAGGTTTTTATGTATTATGAACATTGCCGTATCGCTTCAGTTAATTTAAAGATTCCAAGAGAGACATTGATAGATAACTGAAAAAGGGTTCCGGTAGTGTTCTTCTCTGAACCTACCTGCTTCGCAGTGACTGCCACTTCCTGACTGCACAGGAAGTCTTGCCATAGCAACATGACCACAAGAGGATGTGTGTGCACTCTGCACAAACCCTTGTCTCACTTTACCCACTTGTCTAAACCAATATCATTCTCATTCATGCAGACAATAGTATACACCAAAACATGAAATGAATACACTGCAGATTACACAGTTTGAAAATAGTTTGTGGTGTCTGAGTTTCTCTTGCCAAATATTGGTCTTGTCTTAATTAGCATAAAACTGGATCTTAACCATATAGAATTAGGAGGATCTCTATGCTTAACCACAATAAACTGCCACCAGCTGTAAGTGACTAAACACATGCCATCACTACCATAAACCACAGCTCTCATGTTGTCTAATATTAGTTAATAATTAGTAAATACATTATTATCTATAAGTGAATTAAGTGAATTATCTATAAGTCAATTTTAGTATAGGTTTACCCTTGTGAAATTCAGTGGTCTAATGCTGGTTTCATTGTTGTATCTTCCAAGTCTCCGTCGGAGAGAGGTTCTCAGGGAAAGTTGAGAGAATCCTTTGGTGAACTCTTTGAACATCATCGTTTTCTGTAGGATAAATTCAAAACAATCCATCATTGATCAGATAAATTACGTCACACTTGGCTAAACTATAATATGACTTGTTTGAGCATGTTTCATACTCTCTCAAAATCTTGAACTTCCATGACAACCCAAGGGGAGCTGGAAAATCGGATCCTAGCTATCCCTAAGTGTTACAATAGCAACAAGGCACCACAGGAAATTCCCCAAAAAGCCACAATCCTCACGAGAGACAGAATATCTACTGCACATGATTAAATTAACGTAAAAGTATTGTACCTTCTCTCTGGTATCTCCAGTTGTTTTCCTCAAAGGACAGTGGCAGGATGCAGAGGTCTCCATGGCAGTGGTGGACCCTACTGGAGTAGACAGAGAGAGAAAGGAAAGGAGCGGAGAGGTAAACAGCTCTGGGCGGCTGATGCCAGGGGACTGGTCTGCGGCCCACAGTGATGATGGCTTATTACTGAACAAACAACATCCCTGCCATAAACCACAGCTCACATGGATATAAAAATCAATGGGTGGGACACAGATAGATGAACACAGCAACCGTTCAAGGGGAAGTCTCAGGTTGTCTCCTCCTCCGTTCCAGTTTTGCAGTGACTATCGGTTCCTAAACCTGTGTGAACCAGCCCGCATGTAACCCACTCATAACCCATTTTAACATAAACCAGCCTGCATGCCCATATGGCCATTTATGCATACACAATGTAGACCTGTGCATACCATGTTTTTATTCCTCAATTCAAGAAAAGAAGATTGACCTTCATCCTTGTGTAATATACTGTATATGACACCATTCACTGTAACATTTAATTATTTGCAGTAACCTACTAATATTTTAGTAGTATTTTATTAGGATCCCCATTAACTACAACCAAAGCTGCAGCTACTCTTCCTGGGGTCCACACAAAACATGAAATAATACGTAATATTAATAGACAATTATAGCTGAAGGACAGAACTACATAAAATAGCATTATACATAGCGTTAATAGACAGGTACAAAACTACATACATTTTAAATAAGAATACACACTTTCATATTCTTATGCCTTAGCAATCCATGCAACATGTACCTATAATAAAGGCTACACTGCAGTCTTCCATTTTGTTACAGTTGCTTACTGTTACAGTTGCAGGTCCTGATCCTAATCTCTCAGAACCAGTTGTTCTGTAAACACCAGTGAGAATCTCACAACATTAGGAACCACCCGTGTCTTTGGTTCTCCCATTTTGATGTCAATATTATTCATAATAATAATGTGATTCATAGATGCTACTGAATGCAAGTGCAACGAAAACGACAATGGAGCCTGTGGCTCACTCATACTGATTGAGGAACTGAAGTGAGCTACAGCTTGCAGGGCATCATGCATAGAGAATGACAATAGAGTAGCCTACTGATGGATAAGTGTGTGAATGTGTGTTAGACGAATCTGACTTATGGCGAGATGATGCATGAGTCGAAGAGGAGCAAATACTAAAACAAACACCAAGATGATTTGCATTGAATTTGTGACTCTAGAGAACATTTCTTGTTACGATAGAATAGAGTTTATTGGCAAGACAAAATCAAAGAGATTACAGGTGCAATGAGACACAAATGTCTCAGCAGTTTCTATTGTATGATATAATTTGAATAAGCCCCCTTTCTCCTTGTATGGTATAGATGTAGGATCTTAATTTGAGTTAGTTTGCTACAGCGGGAACATAATCCTGCAGCAACAGGAAATGTGAATTATTATATGGATTATAATTAATGGGCATTTTTGCAGGGGTTGATACATTTTTCATAAGGGAAAATCAAGTCTGAAATGTCAAAGTGGAAATTAGAAACTTCAGAAGCCTTTTTAAATCTCAAATACACTACAAGTTGTATATTTCCTGCATTGCAGGAATGTTCTCCTGCAACATGGTGATCAAATTAAGATCCTACATCTGCATTATCCTCTCGCTCAATGCATTAGCAGCAATACAGCTTTAAACTGACCACAGCTGGAGCAGACTGGATCCTCAAACCGGACTGACATGCACTATTAAGGCTCTCAGCTCTCACTCTAGGAGCATCAGGCCACGAGACTCAGAGGTAGAGTGACCGCTAGGATTACCTTGACAACACCCTCTCCTCTTAGCAGCCCAGGTATTTGTATTGCAGCAAATAAGCAATGAGGCCAAAAAGGTATAATAACCAGTGCAGTTGGTAGGGTTGCTATAGTTGTCATTCGGTCTTACTCAGGATTGCTTTCTCTTAAGATTGACAGGATTCCAAGATAATGTGCAATCTTCTTTGACTGTATATCATATACAGACGTTTAAAAGGCATTTGTGCTGGACTGCATTGTGTAAACTGTAACATTCCATCTTAGTTGTGTCACTCTGACAGTCTGGTTAAGCTGGAGCTCAGGGTTGGCTTGTAAATAATTGAGGACTGAGAATGTCTCCTTCTGCAGCTATACAGAAGGGGATGATGTCACTCACGGCAATCACTGCAGCAGCAAAGTCAATGCGAAGAAAGATTACAGTGACATAACTAAGGGAAACAGCCCAAACTGGCTCTATTGTGCCTCTGTTCCATTTTAACAAAGATTTCCCCCTTGGTTTATAATAGACCCAGACCAGAGAAATGCAGGCTTTTGTACTGGGAGAGGGAGAGGACACTCAAGCTACTAATCCTTGAGTAACGGTCCTCTGAGGGTAAAATGAAGTCGTGATTCTTTCAAATTTGAAACTTTTTCAGAAAGCTATTTTTTACTCAAAACACAAATCCCAATAGAGACTCAGAAAATACTTGAAGATTGGTTGGGCCTATGTTGTATTCTCCTCATGCAAACATGCATGATGTCAAATATAATCATCTGATGATGATTAATGATCCCCAGCTTGACTCTGACTGGATTTTCCTTGATATTATTCACTATCAATCACTGAGTATTTCATTGATTCAGACATATGCTGGAGTGTATTGTACAAAATAGGAAAATCCATGTGTCTGAGTGACAAAGGTTGATCCACGGGCACTCCACCAACCTTTTCCCTGTAGATTTACAACATTATACTGGCAGTTGCCAGTTATATACTGTAATTGTGATTTACAGCAGGGATGCTGAACATGTTGTACAGTAAGAAAAACAGTGCTGTATTACACAATACAGCATTATACTGTAAACAAGCCTACTGTAATCATTACAGCAACACAGCTGTAGGATATTATATAATTAAAGTAATTTGCTGGCAATTCTGATGCCAGTATAATGCTGTAAATGTACAGTACAGCATGTTACCGTAATCAGTTTTACGGTACCAATACTCTTACTGTAGTCTTTTTACGGTAATTGTAATGAATAAATTAATGAATTAAATTCATTGAGGGGAGGCGGGTTTGTATTTTACAGTATTTAACTGTAATTGCATGGGATTGGTGCAAGCAGGTTGGCTGCAAGTGTTTTTATTTTTTGTACAGCATATCATATACTGTACATACATTACATAGAAAAGGTATGTGGAACACCCCTTCAAAATAGTGGATTCGGCTATTTCAGCCACACCCGTTGCTGACAGGTGTATAAAATCGAGCACACAGTCATGCAATCTCCATAGACAAACATTGGCAGTAGAATGGCCTTACTGAAGAGCTCAGTGACTTTCGACGTGGAACTGTCATAGGATGCCACCTTTCCAACAAGTCAGTTCGTCAAATTTCTGTCCTGCTAGAGCTGCCCCGGTCAACTGTAAGTGCTGTTATTTTGAAGTGGAAACGTCTAGGAGCAACAACGGCTCAGCCGTGAAGTTGTAGGCCACACAAGCTCACAGAACGGGACCGCCGAGGGCTGAAGCGCATAGCACGTAAAAATCGCCTGTCCCCGGTTGCAACACTCACTACCGAGTTCCAAACTGCCTCTGGAAGCAACGTCAGCACAATAACAGTTAGTCGGGAGCTTCATTAAAGGGTTTTCGATGGCCGAACAGCCGCACACAAGCCTAAGATCACAATGCGCAACGCCAAGTGTCGGCTGGAGTGGTGTAAAGCTCGCCGCCATTGGATTCTGGAGCAGTGAAAACGCACTCTCTGGAGTGATGAATCACGCTTCACCATCTGGCAGATGCCAGGAGAATGCTACCTTCCCCAATGCATAGTGCCAACTGTAAAGTTTGGTGCAGGAGGAATAATGGTCTGGGGCTGTTTTTCATGGTTCCAGTGAAGGGAAATCTTAACGCTACAGCATACAATGACATTCTAGACGATTCTGTGCTTCCAACTTTGTTGCATCAGTTTGGGGAATGCCCTTTCCTGTTTCAGCATGACAATACCCCCGTGCACAAAGGCAAGTCCATACAGAAATGGTTTGTTGAGATCGGTGAGGAAGAACTTGACTCGCCTGCACAGAGCCCTGACCTCAACCCCATCGAACACCTTTGGGATGAATTGGAACGCCGACTGCGAGCCAGGCCTAATCGCCCAACATCAGTGCCAGACCTCACTAATGGTCTTGTGGCTGAATGGAAGCAAGTCCACGCAGCAATGTTCCAAAATCTAGTGGAAAGCCTTCCCAGAAGAGTGGAGGCTGTTATAGCATCAAAGCTGGGACCAACTCCATATTAATGCCAATGATTTTGGAATGAGAATGTTCGACGAGCAGGGGTCCACATACTTTTGGTCATGTAGTGTCTTTAGTTATAACAAAGGGGTTGAATACTTATTGACTCAAGACATTTCAGATTTTTATTTTTTTAAACTGTAACGTCCTTTGTATTTCTCAGTCATGAAACAACCGTCAGGACCGGTCAGCAGACTCGGGTAAGATGAAGGGAGGAGGGGTGTGTCTCTTTATTAACAACAGCTAGTGCACAATCTCTAATGTTAAGGAAGTCTCAGGTTTTGCTTGCCTAAGTTAGAAAACCTCATTATAAGCTGCAGACCATACTATTTACCGAGAGGGTTTTTATCAATATTTTTCATAGCTGTCTATTTTACCACCACAAACTGATGCTGGCACTAAGAATGCACTCAACGAGTTGTATAGGGCCATAAGCAAACAAGAAAATGCACATCCAGAGGCGGCATTTCGTGGCCGGTGATATTAATGCAGGGAAACTGAAATCCGTTTTACCTCATTCTTACCAGCATGACACCTGTGCAACTACAGGCGACAAAACTCTAGATCACCTTTACTCCACACACAGTAACGCAAACAAGGCTCTCCCTCGCCCTCCCTTTAGCAAATCTGACCATAACTCCATCCTCTTGATTCCTGCTTACAAGCAAAAACTCAAACAGGAAGTAACAGTGACGTGCTCAATACGGAAGTGGTCCGACAAAATGGCTAAGCTACAGAACTGTTTCGCTAGCACAGACTGGAATATGTTCCGGGATTCATCCGATAACATTGAGGATTTTACCACATCACTCACCGGCTTCATTGATAAATGCATCGACGACGTCGTCCCAACAGTGACCATATGTACATATCACAACCAGAAGCCCTGGATTACAGGCAACATCCACACTGAGCTAAAGGCTAGAGCTGCCGCTTTCAAGGAGCGGGACACTAATCCGGACGCTTATAAGAAATCCCGCAAACAGGCAAAGCGTCAAAACAGGACAAAGATGGAATCCTACTACACCCGCTCTGACGCTCATCAGATGTGGCAGGGCTTGCAAACTATCACTATCAGCCGCAAGCTGCCCAGTGACACGGGCCTACCAGACAAGCTAAATGCCTTCTATGCTCGCTTCAAGGCAAGCAACACTGAAATATGCATGAGAGCCCCAGGTGGTCCGGACGACTGTGTGATCTCGCTCTCCATAACCGATGTGAGTAAGATCTTTAAACAGGTTAACATTCAAATGGCCACGGGGCCAGATGGATTACCAGGATGCGTACTCAGAGCATGCGAGAACCAACAGGCAAGTGTCTTCACTGACATTTTCAACCTCTCCCTAACCCAGTCTGTAATACCTACATGTTTCAAGCAGACCACTATAGTCCTTGTGCCCAAGAACGCCAAGGTAACCTGTCTAAATGACTATCGCCCCGTAACACTCACATCTGTAGCCATGAAATGCTTTGAAAGGATGGTCATGGCTCACATCAACACCATCATCCCGGACACCCTGGACCCACTCCAATTTGCATACCACCCCAAAAGATCTATAGATGACGCAATCTCTATTGCACTCCACACTGCCCTCTCCCACCTGGATAAGAGGAACACCTATGTAAGAATGTTGTTCATTGACTACAGCTCAGCGTTCAACACCATAGTGCCCTCCAAGCTCATCACTAAGCTCAGGACTCTGGGACTGAACACCTCCCTCTGCAACTGGATCCTGGACTTCCTGACAGGCCGCCCCCAGGTGGTAAGGGTAGGCAACAACACATCCGCCACGCTGATCCTCAACATGGGGGCCCCTCAGGGGTGTGTCCTTAGTCCCCTCCTATACTCCCTGTTCACCCACGACTGCGTGGCCGTGCACGACTCCAACACCATCATTAAGTTTGCTGACCACATTGCTATGGTAGGCCTGATCACCGACGACGATGAGACAGCCTATAGGGAGGAGGTCAGTGACCTGACAGTGTTGTGCCAGGACAACAACCTTTGCCTGAATGTCAGTAAGACAAAGGAGCTGATTGTGGACTACAGGAAATGGAGGGCCGAGCACGCCCCCATCCACATCGACGGGGCTGTAGTGGAGCGGGTCGAGAGCTTCAAGTTCCTCAGTGTCCATATCGCTAAGGAATGAACATATGGTCCACACACACCAACACAGTCATGAAGAAAGCATGACATCGCCTCTTCCCACTCAGGAGGCTGGAAATATTTGGCATGGGCCCTCAGATCCTCAAAAAGTTCTACAACTGCACCATTGAGAGCATCTTGACTGGCTCCATCACCGCTTGGTATGGCAACTGCTTGATATCCGACCGCAAGGCGCTACAGAGGGTAGTGCGTACGGTCCTGCCATCCAGGACCTCTATACCGGGTGGCCCTACATATGTTCAAAGACTCCAGCCACCCAAGTCATAGACTGTTCTCTCTGCTACCGCACGGCAAGCGGTGCACCACGTCTGGAACAACAGGACCTTGAACAGATTATACTCCCAAGCCATAAAACTGGTACCCCGTGTATATAGCCAAGTTATCATTACTCATTGTGTATTTATTCCTTGTATTAATTTTCTATCATTTGTCTATTTTTCTCTCTGTATTGTTGGTAAGAAATGTAAATGATTTGTAAGGAAAACACCAAAACAATATTTTGGAGGAACACAGAGGAGGGAGAAGGATGAGGGGTTGGAGGATAGTGGGCAGAGACCAGAGAAAAGCAGCAGAAGGCAGATATTTTCCCTTCTTCCAGCACTGATGAAGAGCCCTGGGCTTCCTGTGTGGCAGGTGGTGGGGAGGATAATCCAGGTAAATTATTTAATGCATGGAGGGAGGGACAGGAAGGACAAGGGAGGGGTGGGGGCCAATGGGGTTGGGGGAAAGGTGTGCACAACAGGGAGGGCTAATTGTGGCCTGGTAATCCTTCCCTGGCCCCCACCTGCTCCTCCTCCTGAGCGAGAGCTGCTGAGGTAGGCCAAGCAGGAGACGATTCCACCCTGGTTCTGGACGCTTCAAACAGACGTAAGGGGTACCGAGGAGATTCCTTTAGGCCTATTTACTGGGTACCTGGACAACACTGAAGATTCACCATAGAATGAGGCTTTGCCTCTTACCTGTCCTTTTTCCTGCTTTCTGAAGCACATCATTCAACATGGGAGAAGTTCAAAAGGTAATCCCGCTACCTTCTGCTGCCGATCTTTGAGTTTGATGGAAATGAACATCTTGGGTTATTCAGAGACAGACTGTTTTCCCTTTTCAATAACAAACTAACTGACGATTTGACACAATCTCAGCTAATAAAATGCATTGTAGTCCCTTACAAGCTTCATAATTGCTTTTTTTCTGTGTCTGTTTGTAATATCCTCTTCTTTCTTGTTTTTCTTAGGGGTTTTTCTCAGTCCTACAGAAATTAAAAGGAACCACAGAACAGGAACTTCGGATAGTCCTTCTGGGTCTAGACAACGCTGGCAAAACAACGCTGCTAAAACAGCTTTCATCCGAGGATGTCAACACCATTACTCCTACACAGGTCAGATCCAATCCTGGCATGCTCTGAACTTACATAAGCAGGCCACTGCAGTTTTGTAATGACAACTCTGTGACCCGCCTCCATGGCAGGATATTACACTTCCTTCCTCAGGTTGTTGCCGAAGGCTTCCACGGAATGGCACTTACTCAATGGTAGCCGGATGTCAGATGTTTTTTTAACCTGCTGTTTCAAAATCTGATCTTTGATCATATCAATGTCTTCTACCAAACTATAATCATTCTTGGATCTCTAAATGGGTGACATGGGTGAGAAAACAATTGCATATTAACCTCAGCTAATGGCACCATTGGTAGCAAGTAAAGCCACTCATCCCTAATAGCAGTTAAAATAGATGCAAAGGATTGTCACACTTCATGTCAGACATGGAAAGGGAAATAGATGGCATGAGTCAGACATGGAAAGGGAGATACAGTGGCTTGCGAAAGTATTCACCCCCCTTGGCATTTTTCCACTTTTAAGATGCAATATATTTTTATTTTTTTATAAACAAGAAATAAGACCAAAAAAATGAAAACTTCAGCATGCATCACTCTTCACCCCCCCAAAGTCAATACTTTGTAGAGCCACCTTTTGCAGCAATTACAGCTGCAAGTCTCTTGGGGTACATCTCTATAAGCTTGGCACATCTAGCCACTGGGATTTTTGCCCATTCTTCAAGGCAAAACTGCTCCAGTTTGCAGACTCTGGGGCCTTTCAGAACAGGTGTATATATACTGAGATCATGTGACAGATCATGTGACACTTAGATTGCACACAGGTGGACTTTATTTATCTAATTATGTGACTTCTGAAGTTAATTAGTTGCACCATATCTTATTTAGGGGCTTCATAGCAAATGGGGTAAATACATATGCGCGCATAATATTTTCCATTTTTTATTTCTTCGAATTTTTTGAAACAAGTTATTTTTTTCATTTCACTTCACCAATTTGGACTATTTTGTGTATGTCCATTACATGAAATCCAAATAAAAATCCATTTAAATTACAGGTTGTAACGCAACAAAATAGGAAAAACACCACTTTTGCAAGGCACTGTAGATGGCCTGATCCCAGATCAATAAATCAAATGTATTTTATGAAGTCATTTTTGCAGAAGCAGTTGTCATAAAGTTCTTTACAAATACCCAGCCTAAAACCCAATGCAGAGGCAGATGCACAGTGGCTAGGAAAAACTCCCTAGAACGCAGGAACCTTGGAAGAAACCTAGAGAGAAACTAGGCTCCGAGGTATGGCCACTGGCCAGGCCTCTTCTGGCTGTACCGATGACTTTACAAGGGTCAGGTCACTCCAGAGGGTTATACTGCAAAGCAGGATCAATGAGTTAGCCAGCTAACTTCCCTAAATATTCTGAAATAACTTGACATTTTTTTAGAAAGATTAGCTTGAAATGGGTATGGTCTAATTGACTCAACAACCAAAAACACATGGCTAACTCAATGATCCTGCTTTACAGTATATCCCTCTGGCCAAGAGCTCTGGAAGTAAACAAGTAGTGTCATCAAATATCGACACGTTGTCCATTCAAGTTCATCATAGTAGTGTTGAATGATTTGGTTGGTTTTTCATATGTTCGAAGGCAATAAAAGACAGTGCTTGTTTAAGCAGTCGGTTTATGCAGACTTTGCACAAAATAGCACATTGACAATAGTACATTTAGCTAGACTAAGAATAGAGACTAGGCTGTGACTTTAATCCGGGGGTTGAAGATGACTTAACCATAAAGGCAGAGAGGGTGCGACACACATTGTGTAAGGCCTAGCTAAAAATAGAGGGTCAAGGTTTATTATCATTGTACATGTCTGTCTTGTAATGTCAGAATGTTACAAACAAATGCTTATTTAGAGACACTAGTACAATATTAAGGCTGTGTTCTGTTAAACTGTGTTACCTCCGAATTCTGCGCCTCCATTGATCCCAAAGGGCTTCAACATTAAGAGTCTCACGTCTCACGGAATGAAACTGAACGTGTGGGACATCGGAGGACAGAGGAAGATTCGGCCCTTCTGGAAGAAATATTTGGAAAACACAGATTTGTTGGTGTGTAAATGATCTCTCACTTTGTCCTATTATACAGCGGCTTCAGAAACTATTCACACCCCTTGAATTGTTCCACATTTTGTTGTGTTACAGCCTGACTTTAAAATTGATTCAATTGAGGATTTGTGTCACTGGTCTACACACAATACCCCATAATGTCAAAGTGAAATTATGTTTTGAGACATTTTTACAAATTAATTAAAAATGAAAAGCTGAAATGTCTTGAGTCAATAAGTATTCAACTCCTTTGTTATGGCAAGCCTAAACAAGTTCAGGAGTAAAAATGTGCTTAACAAATCACATAATAAGTTGCATGGATTCGCTGTGTGCAATAATATTGTTTTTAACATGATTTTTACATTATCTCTAAGGTCCCTCTGTGATGCGTGTGATAGAAGGAGTCAGGCGCATGAGAGTAATACGCATCCAAAGAGTTTATTCCGTCGATAAACAGTTGCGCAAGCATGTGACAACAAAACTCAGGCACAGGGGAAATATCTACCCTGGCAACAACAAGGTAAGGGTAGCTCAACCGAGCTACACACAGCTCACTACAAACAATCACCCACACAGACAAGGAAGCAGAGGGAACACTTATACATTGACTAATTGGGGATAAGGACCAGGTGTGTGTGATTAATTAGACAAGACAAGTGGAGTGATGATAAATGGATCGGCAGCAGCTAGTAAGCCGGTGACGACGAACGCCGAAACCTGCCCGAACAAGGAGGAGAGGCAGCCTCTGCGGAATTTCAAACACAGATTCAACCACAAAGACCAGGGAGATTTTCCAATGCCTTGCAAAGAAGGGCACCTATTGGTAAAAGGGTAAAAACAAAAAAAGCAGACATTGAATATCCCTTTGAGCATGGTGAAGTTATTAATTACACTTTGGATGATGTATCAATACACCCAGTCACTACAAAGATACAGGCGTCCTTCCTAACTCCGTTGCCAGAGAGAAAGGAAACCGCTCAGGGATTTCACATTGAGGCCAATGGTGATTTTAAAACAGTTAAATAATTTAATGGTTGTGGTATGAGAAAACTGAGGATGGATCAACAACATTGTAGTTACTCATCACTTTTTATTTTATTTATTTTTTATTTCACCTTTATTTAACCAGGTAAGCCAGTTGAGAACAAGTTCTCATTTACAACTGCGACTACTAACCTAAATGACAGAGTGAAAAGAAGGAAGCTTGTACAAAATAACAAATGTTCATAAACATTCATCCTGTTTCCAATAAGGCCCTAAAGTAAAACTGCAAAAAATGTGGCAAAGGAATTAACTTTATGTCCTGAATACAAAGCGTTATGTTCGGGGCAAATCCAACACAACACATCACTGAGTACCACTCTTTATATTTTCAAGCATGGTGGTGGCTGCATCATGTTTTGGGCATGCTTGTCATCGGCAAGAACTAGGGAGTTTCTTTGGATAAAAATAAACAAAATATAGCTAAGTACAGGTAAAGTCCTAAAGGAGAACCTGGTTCAGTCTGCTTTCCAACAGACAATGGGAGACAAATTCACCTTTCGGACAATAACCTAAAACACAAGGACAAATATACACTGGAGTTATTTACCAAGAAGACATTGAATATTCCAGAGTGGCCTAGTTACAGTTTTGACTTCAATCGGAATGAAATTTTATGGCAAGACTTGAAAATGGCAGTCTAGCAAAGATCAACAACCTATTTGACAGAGCTTGAGGAATTACAATACCAGTCAAAGTTTTGGACACACCTACTCATTCAATGGTTTTTCATTATAAAAAAAAAAATTTACATTGTAGAATAATAGTGAATACATCAAAAACTATGAAAGAACACATATGGAATCATGTAGTAACCAAAAAAGTGTTAAACAAATAAACATATATTTTATATTTGAGATTCTTCAAATTGCCATCCTTTGCCTTGATGACAGCTTTGCACACTCTTGGCATTCTCTCAACCAGCTTCATGAGGTAGTCACCTGGAATGCATTTCAACTCACAGGTGTGCCTTCTTAAAAGTTAATTTGTGGAATTTCTTTCCTTCTTAATACATTTGAGCCAATCAAGATAGGGGGTATACAGAAGATAGCCCTATTTGGTAAAAGACCAAGTCCATATTATGGCAAGAACAGCTCAAACAAGCAAAGAGAAACGACAGTCCATCATTACTTTAAGGCATGAAGGTCAGTCAATACGGAATATTTCAAAAACTATGATGAAACTGGCATAGGAATGGAAGACCCAGAGTTACATCTGCTGCAGAGGATACGTTCATTAGCGCTACCAGCCTCAGAAATTGCAGCCCAAATAAATGCTTCACAGAGTTCAAGTCACAGACACATCTCAACATCAACTGTTCAGAGGGGACTGTGTGAATCAGGCCTTCATGGTCGAATTTCTGCAAAGAAACCACTACTAAAGAAGAGACCTGCTTGGGCCAAGAAACACGAGCAATGGATTTGGTGTCCAAATTGGAGGTTTTTGGTTCCAACCGCCGTGTCTTTGTGAGACGCGGTGTGGAGGAACGGATGATCTCCGCATTTGTATTTCCCACCGTAAAGCATGGAGGAGGAGGTGTTATGGTGTAGGGGTGCTTTGCTGGCGACACTGTCTTCAAGGCACACTTAACCAGCATGGCTACCACAGCATTCTGCAGCGATACGCCATCCCATCTGGTTTGGGATTAGTGGGACTATCATTTGTTTTTCAACAGGACAATGACCCAACACACCTCCAGGCTGTGTAAGGCTATTTTACCAAGAAGGAGAGTGATGGAGTGCTGCATCAGATGACCTGGCCTCCACAATCCCCCGACCTCAACCCAATTGAGATGGTTTGGGATGAGTCAGACGGCAGAGTGAAGGAAACGCAGCCAACAAGTGCTAAGCATATGTGGGAACTCCTTCAAGACTGTTGGAAAAGCATTCCAGGTGAAGCTGGTTCAGAGAATTCCAAGAGTGTGCAAAGCTGTCATCAAGGCAAAGGATGGCTATTTGAAGAATCTCAAATATAAAATATATTTTGATTTGTTTAACACTTTTTGGGTTACTACATGATTCCATATGTGTTATTTCGTAGTTTTGATGTCTTCATTATTATTCTACAATGTAGAAAATAGTAAAAATAAAGAAAAACCCTTGAATGAGTAGGTGTGTCCAAACGTTTCACTGTTACTGTAAACTAATTATAATGTGCAAATATTGTATAATCCAGGTGTGCAAAGCTCTTAGAGACTTAGCAGAAAGCCTCACTGCTGTAATTGCTGCCTAAAGTGAGTCTAACATGTATTGACTCAGGGGTGTAATATTTCTGTATTTAATTTTCAATGTCTAAAAAAAAGTCTAAAAACATGTTTTCACTTTGTCATTATGGGGTATTGTGTGTAAATGGGTGAGAAAATAAATCAATTTAATCCATTTTAAATTCAGGCTGTAACACAAAAAATGTGGAATATGTCAAGGGGTATGAATAGTTTCTGAAGGCACTGTATCTGTAATATGCTTCAGAGAGTAAAATAGAAGCCATTTACTACAGTTAGGTTTAGACCACAGTCTGTTTCATTGCTTAGAGAAAACACTGGACATTAGTTTACTTCAGAATCTTGAATATCAATAAAAGTTAGATACCGAATAGAGAATCAGTCTTATACAGTGAGGGAAAAAAGTATTTGATCCCCTGCTGATTTTGTACATTTGCCCACTGACAGAGAAATGATCAGTGTATAATTTTAATGGTAGGTTTATTTGAACAGTGAGAGACAGAATAACAACAAAATCCAGAAAAACACATGTCAAAAATGTTATAAATTGATTTGCATTTTAATGAGGGAAATAAGTATTTGACCCCCTCTCAATCAGAAAGATTTCTGGCTCCCAGGTGTCTTTTGTACAGGTAACGAGCTGAGATTAGGAGCACACTCTTAAAGGGAGTGCTGCTAATCTCATCTTGTTACCTGTATAAAAGACACCTGTCCACAGAAGCAATCAATCAATCAGATTCCAAACTCTCCACCATGGCCAAGACCAAAGAGCTCTCCAAGGATGTCAGGGACAAGATTGTAGACCTACACAAGGCTGGAATGGGCTACAAGACCATCGCCAAGCAGCTTGGTGAGAAGGTGACAACAGTTGGTGCGATTATTCGCAAATGGAAGAAACACAAAAGAACTGTCAATCTTCCTCGGCCTGGGGCACCATGCAAGATCTCACCTCGTGGAGTTGCAATGATCATGAGAACGGTGAGGAATCAGCCCAGAACTACACGGGAGGATCTTGTCAATGATCTCAAGGCAGCTGGGACCATAGTCACCAAGAAAACAATTGGTAACACACTACGCCGTGAAGGACTGAAATCCTGCAGCGCCCGCAAGGTCCCCCTGCTCAAGAAAGCACATATACAGGCCCGTCTGAAGTTTGCCAATGAACATCTGAATGATTCAGAGGAGAACTGGGTGAAAGTGTTGTGGTCAGATGAGACCAAAATCGAGTTCTTTGGCATCAACTCAACTCGCCGTGTTTGGAGGAGGAGGAATGCTGCCTATGACCCCAAGAACACCATCCCCACCGTCAAACATGGAGGTGGAAACATTATGCTTTGGGGGTGTTTTTCTGCTAAGGGGACAGGACAACTTCACCGCATCAAAGGGACGATGGACGGGGCCATGTACCGTCAAATCTTGGGTGAGAACCTCCTTCCCTCAGCCAGGGCATTGAAAATGGGTCATGGATGGGTATTCCAGCATGATAATGACCCAAAACACACAGCCAAGGCAACAAAGGAGTGGCTCAAGAAGAAGCACATTAAGGTCCTGGAGTGGCCTAGCCAGTCTCCAGACCTTAATCCCATAGAAAATCTGTGGAGGGAGCTGAGGGTTTGAGTTGCCAAACGTCAGTCTCGAAACCTTAATGACTTGGAGAAGATCTGCAAAGAGGAGTGGGACAAAATCCCTCCTGAGATGTATGCAAACCTGGTGGCCAACTACAAGAAACGTCTGACCTCTGTGATTGCCAACAAGGGTTTTGCCACCAAGTACTAAGTCATGTTTTGCAGAGGGGTCAAATACTTATTTCCCTCATTAAAATGCAAATCAATCACGTTTTTGACATGCATTTTTCTGGATTCTTTTGTTGTTATTCTGTCTCTCACTGTTCAAATAAACCTACCATTAAAACGATAGATTGATCATGTCTTTGTCAGTGGGCAAACGTACAAAATCAGCAGGGGATCAAATACTTTTTTCCCTCACTGTATGTGTGACAAGATGAGAAATATCCCTCCTATTTCCTCTTTCCTCCAGATATATGTCATAGACAGTACAGACAAGAAGCGGTTTGAAGAAACTGGACTGGTAAGGCCAACTGAAATAGTAGTCATACTCTATTCCAAGTTTTTTAACAGTTAGCCTTGTATTATAATAGTGGATATGCAAACCTGTAATTGCTGACAACACAAAGATGTAGTCCACATACTATGCTCCTCTCTGGAATAACACTGCTGACCCCTCAGGAACTGTCAGAGCTGATCGATGAGGAGAACCTGAAGGGGGTTCCCGTGCTCATCTTTGCCAACAAGCAGGACCTGTCCACGGCCTCGCCTGCCAGCGAGATTGCAGAGGGCCTGAACCTTCACACATTACGCGACCGGGAGTGGCAGATCCAGGCCTGCTCAGCTTTCTCTGGAGAGGGAGTTCAGGTAGGCCACAACATCTCTGAAAATAGGACAGATAATGTCACATTCAGCGTTTAATGAAGTTAGAGGGACACCATATCACAATATAAAATAACAACGGTACTGTACAATCCTCTGGGACTTACAAGACGTATTAAAGGCATCATCGAGTGCCAATTCAGTGGACTCAGTTGGTGTTCATGTTCTGTTCCTCCTCATGTAGTACATGAGGGGGAGTGCTGTGCGCACTGCAGAAAAGGTCCTCTTCTCACTCTGTTCATGTAGTAAAATAATTGGAGCCCACAGGAGAATAAGTTATTCTCTGTTAGCCACCATGTCATTAGTAGGATCTTTCCAGAACCTTTAACTGGGTTTCACATAGTGTGCAGCAGATTATGTCACTACAGTTTCCAGTAGGACAACATCTCATTAGCGGTGAAAATTAAGAGCTAAAACAAACTATTGGCGGGCAGACAAATGTTTTGCCTCATTGTCGTGACACCACATGAATGCTGTGTAAAGCTCCAGATTAGCATCTGCACCTGAGTACTGTCCTGGAGGATCAGGTCAGGAGGTCAGACCCCAACATAACGCCTTACTATGTGTCCCATGAAATACGTAACACTGTAGCTACAGTATACACTACCAGTCAAGTGTTTGGACACACCTACTCATTCAGGGTTTTTCTCTATTTTTACTATTTCTTACATTGTAGAATAATAGTGAAGACATCAAAACTATGAAATAACACATATGGAATCATGTAGTAACCAAAAAAGTGATAAACAAATCATAATATATTTTATATTTCAAATTCTTCAAATAGCCACCCTTTGCCTTGATGACAGCTTTGCACTCTCTTGGCATTCTCTAAACCAGCTTCATGAGGTAGTCACCTGGAATGCATTTCAATTAACAGATGTGCCATCTTAAAAGTTAATTTGTGGAATTTCTTTCCTTCTTAATGTGTTTGAGCCAATCAGTTGTGTTGTTACAAGGTAGGGGTGGTATACAGAAGATAGCCCTATTTGGTAAAAGACCAAATCCATATTATGGCAAGAACAGCTCAAATAACCAAAGAGAAATGATAGTCCATCATTACTTTAATACATGAAGGTCAGTCAATATAGAACATTTCAATAACTTTTAAAGTTTCTTCAAGTGCAGTTGCAAAAACCATCAAGCGCTATGATGAAACTGGCTCTCATGAGGACCGCCATAGGAATGGAAGACCCAGAGTTACCTCTGCTGCAGAGGATAAGTTCATTAGAGTTACCAGCCTCAGAAATTGCAGCCCAAATAAATGCTTCACAGAGCTCAAGTCACAGACACATCTCAACATCAACTGTTTAGAGGGGACTGTGTGAATCAGGCCTTCACGGTCGGATTGCTGCAAAGAAACCACTGCTAAATGACACCAATGAGAAGAAGAGAACTGCTTGGGCCAAGAAACACAAGCAATAGACATTAGACCGGTGGAAATTTGTCCAAATTGGAGATTTTTGGTTCCATCAGCCGTGTCTTTGTGAGACGCGGTGTGGGTGAACGGATTATCTCCGCATGTGTAGTTCCCACCGTAAAGCATGGAGGAGGAGGTGTTATGGTGTGGGGGTGCTTTGCTGGCGACACTATCTGTGATTTATTTAGAATTCAAGGCACACTTAACCAGCATGGCTACCACAGCATTCTGCAGCGATACGCCATCCCATCTGGTTTGGTCTTAGTGGGACTATCATTTGTTTTTCAACAGGACAGTGACCCCACACACCTCCAGGCTGTGTAAGGGCTATTTTACCAAGGAGAGTGATGGAGTGGTGTATCAGATGACCTGGCCTCCACAATCCCCCGACCTCAACCCAATTGAGATGGTTTGGGATGAGTTGGACCACAGAGTGAAGGAAAAGCAGCCAACAAGTGCTAAGCATATTTGGGAACTCCTTCAAGACTGTTGGAAAAGCATTCCAGGTGAAGCTGGTTGAGAGAATGCCAATAGTGTGCAAAGCTGTCATCAATGCAAAGGGTGGCTATTTGAAGAATCTCAAATATAAAATATATTTTGATTTGTTTAACACTTTTTTGGTTACTACATGATTCCACATGTGTTGATGTCTTCACTATTATTCTACAATGTAGAAAATAGTAAAAATAAAGAAAAACCCTTGAATGAGTAGGTGTGTCCAAACTTTTGACTGGTACTGTACATCTACGTCCGGTATATGGTGTAATTGCTTTGTAATTTTTAAAATGTAATGTGTATATGTGATCTTTTTGTTCTCACAGGATGGCATGAACTGGATTTCCAACAACATTGTGAATAGGAAGAAAGCTGACTAACCCCTGAATATACAACATGCTGCTTTCTAAACACATACTTTTGTGTGTTTCATGACAACTCTGTACATATGTTGACACCCAATGCAATGGTGACAGGTTTTATAGATGAAGCTATCTATCTGAAGATGCCCCAAAACATTTGAGATCTTGCTGGCTTCTCAAATCCAGCCACAGGAAAATGGATTGAAGGAGGGGGTCACAACAGAAACAATCAACAAGAGAAAAAACACTTAACTTCCAGTCCCATGAACGGTTATTGCCAATGCTCTGGAATGATACTTATTTGATTTAGTCTATGGAAGAAAACTATTCTTGAAGAGCACAAGTAATCCAAGGGACAGAGCATTTCATGTGTAAATAGTCCCACAAAAACATCTCTCTTTAGTTTTAGGCACATGAATAAGGCAAAATTCATACACTAAGAAAAAAAGGTTACATTTATAGTGTCACTGTTTATACATTATTTGTTTATTGTGTGAATTGAGACTGTGATATAAAATAAATATTGAATTGGCAGAATCTGCACATACTTGATGTGATATGCATGATTTGTTTGTACCATAAATTACCCCTATAGACAAGCACCATTCCGTCGCCTGCCACTGTTTGTTGTCATTGCTCATATATACAGTTGAAGTCGGATGTTTACATACACCTTAGCCAAATACATTTAAACTCAGCTTTTCACAATTCCTGACATTTAATCCTAGTAAAAATCCCATGTCTTAGGTCAGTTAGGCTCACCACTTTATTTTAAGAATATGAAATGTCAGAATAATAGTAGAGAGAATGATTTATTTCAGCTTTTATTTCTTTCATCACATTCCCAGTGGGTCAGAAGTTTACATACACTCAATTAGTATTTGGTAGCATTGCCTTTAAATTGTTTAACTTGGGTCAAACATTTCGGGTAGCCTTCCAACAGCTTCCCACAATAAATTGGGTGAATTTTGGCCCATTCCTCCTGACAGAGCTGGTGTAACAGAGTCAGGTTTGTAGGCCTCCTTGCTCGCACACGCTTTTTCAGTTCTGCCCACAAATGTTCTATAGGATTGAGGTCAGGGCTTTGTGATGGCCACTCCAACACCTTGACTTTGTTGTCCTTAAGCCATTTTGCCATAACTTTGGAAGTATGCTCGGGGTCATTGTCCATTTGGAAGACCCAATTGCGACCAAGCTTTAACTTCCTGACTGATGTCTTGAGATGTTGCTTCAATATATCCACATAATTTTCCTTCCTCATGATGCCATCTATTTTGTGAAGTGCCTCAGTCCCTCCTGCAGCAAAGCAACCCCACAGCATGATGCTGCCACCCCCGTGCTTCACGATTGGGATGGTGTTCTTCGGCTTGCAAGCTTCCCCCCTTTTCCTCCAAACATAACGATGGTCATTATGGCCAAACAGTTCTATTTTTGTTTCATCAGACCAAAGGACATTTCTCCAAAAAGTACAATCTTTGTCCCCATGTGCAGTTGCAAACCGTAGTCTGGCTTTTTTATGGCGGTTTTTGAGCAGTGGCTTCTTCCTTGCTGAGCAGCCTTTCAGGTTATGACGATATAGGACTCGTTTTACTGTGGATATAGATACTTTTGTACCTGTTTCCTCCAGCATCTTTACAAGGTCCTTTGCTGTTGTTCTGGGATTGATTTGCACTTTTCGCACCAAAGTACGTTAATCTCTAGGAGACAGAACGCGTCTCCTTCCTGAGCGGTATGACGGCTGCGTGGTCCCATGGCGTTTATACTTCCGTACTATTGTTTGTACAGATGAACGTGGTACTTTCAGGCGTTTGGAAATTGCTCCCAAGGATGAACCATACTTGTGGAGGTCTACTGATTTATTTTGATTTTCCCATGATGTCAAGCAAAGAGGCATTGAGTTTGAAGGTAGGCCTTGAAATACATCCACAGGTACACCTCCAATTGACTCAAATTATGTAAATTAGCCTATCAGAAGCTTCTAAAGCCATGACATCATTTTCTGGAATTTTCCAAGCTGTTTAAAGGCACAGTCAACTTAGTGTATGTAAACTTCTGACCCACTGGAATTGGGATACAGTAACTATAAGTGAAATAATCTGTCTGTAAACAATTGTTGGAAAAATGACTTGTGTCATGCACAAAGTAGATGTCCTAACCGACTTGCCAAAACTATAGTTTGTTAACAAGAAATGAGTGGAGTGGTTGAAAAACAAGTTTTAATGACTCCAACCTAAGTGTATGTAAACTTCCGACTTCAACTGCAGCTCAGTGGATGTCGTTGCATTGTTGTCAGACAGTAAGTCAGTGCTGCCCCACAGTGGGGGACTGTCATCATTACCCCTGTGCCAGGAATGGTAAACTCACAAAAACTACTCTATGGTCTGTGTCAAATACATTGTAAGTAAATGTATATTCCTGTCACACACACGATGAGGGCTCAGCGAACAACTAAAAGAGAAGTATCTGCATCTCTATAGACTATGGTCCTTAAATTCAAATCTGGAACTCAAAGCCAGTTCTACTGCTTTTTTTCATTACCCCCTCTTATCAGGGACTGATTAATTTATCATAGGTACACTTCAACTGTGAGAGACGGAATCTAAAACAAAAATCCAGAAAATCACATTGTATGATTTTTAAGTAATTAATATGCATTTTATTGCATGACATAAGTATTGATCACCTACCAACCAGTAAGAATTCCGGCTCTCACAGACCTGTTAGTTTTTCTTTAAGAAGCCCTCCTGTTCTCCACTCATTACCTGTAATAACTGCAACTGTTTGAACTTGTTACCTGTATAAAAGACACCTGTCCACACACTCAATCAAACAGACTCCAACCTCTCCACAATGGCCAAGACCAGAGAGCTGTGTAAGGAATCAGGGATACAATTGTAGACCTGCACAAGGCTGGGATGGGCTACAGGACAATAGGCAAGCAGCTTGGTGAGAAGGCAACAACTGTTGGCGCAATTATTAGAAAATGGAAGAAGTTCAAGATGACGGTCAATCACCCTCGGTCTGGGGCTCCATGCAAGATCTCACCTCGTGGGGCATCAATGATCATGAGGAAGGTGAGGGATCAGCCCAGAACTACATGGCAGGACCTGGTCAATGACCTGAAGAGAGCTGGGACCACAGTCTCAAAGAAAACCATTAGTAACACACTATGCCGTCATGGATTAAAATCCTGCAGCGCACGCAAGGTCCCCCTGCTCAAGCCAGCGCATGTCCAGGCCCGTCTGAAGTTTGCCAATGACCATCTGGATGATCCAGAGGAGGAATGGGAGAAGGTCATGTGGTCTGATGAGACAAAAATAGAGCTTTTTGGTCTAAACTCCACTCGCCGTGTTTGGAGGAAGAAGAAGGATGAGTACAACCCCAAGAACCCCATCCCAACCGTGAAGCATGGAGGTGAAAACATCATTCTTTGGGGATGCTTTTCTGCAAAGGGGACAGGACGACTGCACCGTATTGAGGGGAGGATGGATGGGGCCATCTATCGCGAGATCTTGGCCAACAACCTCCTTCCCTCAGTAAGAGCATTGAAGATGGGTCGTGTCTGGGTCTTCCAGCATGACAACGACCCGAAACACACAGCCAGGGCAACTAAGGAGTGGCTCCGTAAGAAGCATCTCAAGGTCCTGGAGTGTCCTAGCCAGTCTCCAGACCTGAACCCAATAGAAAATCTTTGGAGGGAGCTGAATGTCCGTATTGCCCAGCGACAGCCCCGAAACCTGAAGCATCTGGAGAAGGTCTGTATGGAGGAGTGGGCCAAAATCCCTGCTGCAGTGTGTGCAAACCTGGTCAAGACCTACAGGAAACGTATGATCTCTGTAATTGCAAACAAAGGTTTCTGTACCAAATATTAAGTTCTGCTTTTCTGATGTATCAAATACTTATGTCATGCAATAAAATGCAAATTAATTACTTAAAAATCATACAATGTGATTTTCTGGATTTTTGTTTTAGATTCTGTCTCTCACAGTTGAAGTGTACCTATGATAAAAATTACAGACCTCTACATGCTTTGTAAGTAGGAAAACCTGCAAAGTCGGCAGTGTATCAAATACTTGTTCTCCCCACTGTACATACATACATTCCGGACTCCGACATTGCTCGTCCTAATATTTATATATTTCTTAATTCCATTCTTTAACTTTTTAGATGTGTGTATTGTTGTGAATTGTTAGATACTACTGCACTGTTGGAGCTAGGAACACAAGCATTTCGCTACACATGCAATAACATCTGCTAAATATGTGTATGCGACGAATAAAATTGTATTTTATTTGATAATTAATCAAATAAAGTAGCGGAAAACTGCACTGTCTTTGGAAAACAGTTTCTTACACCATCAATCAGAAGTGAATTAGTGGATATCTGGAGGTAGTTCTGGAATTCTAATAGCAGGTAAGACATTGAGACGAGGGTGTGTTCTGTTGGTTAGTCTCATGTTATTACTGTTGAACTACTGTACAACTCCTGTTCCATATAAAGTGACTTTCAACAGACTGGTTTCACTGTGACCAATTTACTCGTAACATCTCTGGATTTGTCCTTGCTGCTATGCTGTATTGTTATGTCGTAGCAAAACTATAACATAAGAACACACGCTTACTGCGACTGTTTCTACCTGCCATACTCTCTGATCGCAGGGTGTAATCCTACTGACAGGGACGATGCAAGCACAACACTGTGACATGGCCAAGCAGAGGAAACAGCTGGGCCAGGAACTGTGCATGGAGACACAAGGAGGTATGGCAACCACCACATTCCACCGAGGGAATCATGACCGGCTACTGAAAAAGAAAGCCACATTACATTTCATTGGAGAATTCCATCATCTTTGGGTTCCCTTAGGTTAAATCCGATTTTATTTAAAAAAGTGAATATATTTCATATAAACTGGGCATAGAGATTATGGGTGGCTGTGTTCTTTTAAAGTCCTTATATGAAAGTGTATGTTACAGGTGTGTAGGTTTTAAAATAAGAATACTAGGAGATGGAGACCTGCACACTGTCAAATAAGTGGACAAATCCAAAACTGAGGCTAAACTGCAAAAATAGATGATTTACACTGATGGCTTTATGTTGAAACGTTTGTTTAGTTTTTCACCTTCCATTTATGCACTTTTCTAGCCTCGTATTACCACACTGACCTTGTGAGCTTATATAAATATGTTTCACTACACAGAATTTGAGTGACTCCGTGTAGTGAAACATATTTAACGGTATATAATCTCTTGAGATCTGTGTGGTAGTACGAGGCTAGCACTTTTCTGCACAATGCACTTTTTGGGCATCATGATGTCCCATTAAATCATCTCTATTTTTGTATTTAAGCCTCAGTTTTGGATTTGTCCACTTCTTCGACAGTGTGCGGGTCTACATCTCTCCTAATATCAATGGGGTAAACACCATTCCATCTTAACTGTGTTTGAGGGTCATAAACAGAGAGGAGAGTGAAGACCCAGTAATGTAATGTCACTCCAGGGGAGGAATATCATTCTGCCGAGGCAAGGGGTGAATCATAGCAGCGGGATTGGGCAAAGTCGTGAATCCCACATTCATGACCTCATAAAAAGAACAGCATGCCCCAGAGTCCTCCTAGTGTCAGGTTTAGTGACTAAACAGCTCCAGCAATCAAAAACATTCCTGAAGTAATCATCCTCATTGATGATCTGAAAAAAGTACTTTATGTACCAGTATCAGACGCTGTTACAAACAGTGAGAGGCTAGCTACATGATTAGTGTCTGCAATTCTGTCATGCACTGTCAGAGCCGTTTAGTCATATTCTATGGAACACAGAAGACATACGGAACTTTGATTGAGGGCTGTAGGTCTACGTGTCGGAAACAACCTCGCTCCGGCTTGGGCAGTGGCTTTGTTCACAAGGTAAAGAAGTCACTACAATCAAGTCAAAAGACTGGAGGATATGGATACTTCAGTCTGTGTTTATCTCTCGAGTATGTATGGGATTGTATGCGCATTGTACGACTACACTATCTACTGTATCTGCCTTTGTGTTCTCATCTGTGTCTTAGAGCACTTCGACCTGGGGAAGATGATCGGCGTTCCTAAGGATGTGAGGACGGAGGAGCTCAGCCTGCTGTCTAGCAGATGTTCTAACGATCCACCTCGCCCCTCACTCAAAGGTTACTCTGTGCCTCAAAGAAGTTCCTCGTGAGAGGTTCAACAACACTGTGATCCCCAAGTTCTACTGCTCCCCATGGCAGGACCAGCTGCTGTCTGCCATCTCTGCCCGTCTCCCTGAGCTGCCCCAGAAACTCACCCCAGCCAACTACAGTGCTTCAACAGGTGAGCCCCAGCTACTGCCTCTGTAGCCTGCCCTCGACACACACCTTTCAGTTCAGTCTAGGAGTCTCAGTCAAAGAAGGTTCTATGAGTCCTCCTTTGCCGGCTTCTGAAACCGCTTTATAAAAGGCTGCTGTCTGCTTGTGAATACAGAATCTGGCGCTGGCTCACACACCAGTCTGGGCCACTGAGTAAAGCTTCTATTTTAAAATACGTCTGTAAGCCAAAGTCCACACAACTCTAAAAAAAACACTCAAGACCGATTTATATCCAGATACAAAGGGAAACGACTAATCAGAACTGGTCATCTGTCTGTGTCATTCAACTTTTTGAGATAATCTCTTCACACCATGCTACCATGACCCACACACTAGAGGCCTTTTGAGAAGAGAGAAGCTATATTTCATCTATGGTTATCCTTACTAACTACAAATCCTGACACCCATTTATTTCTATAAGGGCCCCAATGCTGTTTGAGGGGACAGCAGGTAGTGTGTGCATGTTCCCCCTGCCTGGGTTTGAGCGCCCAACTTCAACTGCACCCGCAGGTGCTGGGCCACCCAATACTCTGCTAAAATGAAGACTTCATACCGGTAACACCATGACCGCTTTAGAATTTAGATGACTTTGCAGAGGACCTATCTTTGTACTCTTACATACATAAACTGCAAGTCCAAATAGTGGATAGTTTGTGTTTGAGAAAAATGTTGTTCGCTCTGTCTTTTTCTACCAGAAATAATGATATCAAGAATAGCTTAAACCAGGTAATTCTTTATCAAGGACAGAACTTGGTAAACTATGTGAATAAAATATGTACATAACAAAAACTTTCAAATGAAAGGATCATATTTATGAAGCTAAAATGTGACAACCATACACTTCTCACAGTTCTCTTAAAACAAAGACATTTACAATTCTACTGAGACATGGACAACTTCATCAATCTTTAGATAATAGTGCCACCACATGGAAGTAAATGGCCTTAACAATTGGAATTTCTGAAGACCGTTAAAGCTGGAATCCTTAATGATGAAATTGCCATGTCCTTTCGGGATATTACAAAAAAAAATAAGTTACAACAAACAATTAACACTTTTTTTCCCCTTTGACATTGTTCCATGCACGATAGAGCAGAATACACACTGCATACACACAATGTATTTTTTTTACCACGCTGCTCACCTCCGTTTGGACGCTCCTCACCTCCATTTCATCAACAAAACAAAAACAATAAAAGGTGCCGAGGGTGAACAGTGGCACGGTTTCCCCTAATGAGGAGTCCATCGTTAACATCTGACAATTCTGCACAAAATGCATGATATATAGAATAATTTTGTAATGGAAAGTTTGACATTTTCTTGTATAAGAACAGTTTCGTACAATATGCACATTTTGTAAACATCACCCTCCCTCCTTTCAAATCTACAAGCCATCACATCAGTTAGAACCAGGGGTTGGAACCTCAATTATCTTCCAATCGTTTCGTTCTGAACAGAACCATTATTTTTTTCGTTCCGTTCCACTGTTCCGACCAGCAAAATACAGTTCTGAACCGGTTCGAACATATAGTTCCTTTCTATTCCTTTTTAAACCTCAGAAATTTACTTTTTTATTTACATTTAGCTCGACATTAAATGACTTCACCAATCAGTGGGGATAGAGCAGCTTGCTGTGGAGTCGGTAAGCGATGTAATCTGTATAGGAAAGTTGTTAAGAGCAAATAGTATTTTGCCGTAACAGCATGGTTTAATCATAATGAAAGACAAACACACACACACTGTGCTGCCAGTCAGTGTAGGGCGCTTGATGCAACATACATTGAGTGTGAGGAGAGAGAGAGAGAGGATGGAGGAAGCTTGCCTTGAAGCGCTGGGCATCTTGTTATGACATGCATTATCTGAAATAGGCCCACAGAATAATACCTACGGAGGATCCGCTTCTATGGAGGAACTTTGAATGTCATTGAACTTCCGGGTTGGTTTAACGTTGGACCAGAGCAAACGTTAGCTTACAAGCTTGTGTGTGCAGAGCAGCACTAGAATTAAAAACACATCTTACCTTTTTGTAGTTAATAAATCCAATGTGAGACGTGATAACAGTATCCTTAACTATCATTGAAAAAGTCAATCCACTCTTTAAATAAACAACTCTCCCTAATTTCTGAATTATGCGTGTAACATCGCCAGTAGGCTACAGTAACCTATGCTTCAGGAGGGAGGGGCAGGTAGCCTACACACACACCCACTGGCAAAGGCGCTTCTTGTGGACTGAGAAAAAATGCCCAGAACGTAAAATAACATTATTAACCGGTATCATGCTATTAAAATAACGGTTCTGTTCCGGAACAGTATAGATCACTTTTGTTTTCAGCTCGGGTTCTGTTCCTCAAATAATTTAGTTATTTTTCGGTTCCGTTCCCTGAACCGGTTCCAACCCTTGGTTAGAACATAGGTTCAAATGGAGGAAGGTATAAGGAACCATTAAAAAACTCCACAGTTCAGAACTCCCTTTTCCTAACCAGCGAGACCTTGCTGGTGCACAAACAGATGTTATTCTCTATAACGCTTATATAGAACAAGGATCTCACATCAGTGAAATGTGCCTACAGTTACAGTGCCTGGTTTATTTATAGGGTGAAATTGGTAATTTGGTAAGGAATTGGTATAACACAATGTGTCTTAAATCAAAATGTGTCTTAAAAAAACAGTAATCACTACAAACAGTAGGGTCTAGGAGCCTCCGTGACGACTGGCGTGTGCACCCATGCGCTGTGGATCCTGGGAGGGGTAGTGAACATGGCCAGGAGGCCTCATCCCCATGTGGTCCATGGAGTGGAACATAGGTGGCCCAAAGCCTGTAGGGACGGAAACACCACAAGTTATAAATCCTTAGTGCTGCTGGTGCTTTGGGGGTTAAACAAAGAGTCGTATACAGATAGACGGAGTACATTAGGACTCAGGATAACACAAAACACTTATTTCAAATGTGGTCCTCTACAGGGGGGAAAGTATGGGAAAAGGTTAGAGAAGAATTCATGGGACTCTTGTTTACCTGGAGGAGGGGGCATAGCCACACCGGGGGGTGGGGGTAGACTGATGTTCATGACAGGAGGGTCTGAGTTGGGGCCCAGGTTGAAATAGTTTGTAGGGGCATCTTCGTCCACAGGGGGTGGAGGTAGTGCTGCAGGACAGAGACAGAGGGTCAGTATTGACAAACACATTATTGGGAAGTGTTCGGTAAAATGTGTGAGAGTTTTACTGCTAAAAAGATAAAAGTATAGCTCTCGTGACCGTGCTTCTACATCTGCATTGCTTGCTCTTTGGGGTCTTAGGCTTTTTTTTCCTGGTATCTGTATAGCACTTTGTGACAACTACTAACGTTAAAAGGGCTTTATAAAATAAATGTCATGAATTGCCCTCACCTCCAGGCAGTCCAGGTACCGGCTCCAGCTTCATCCCCATCTCAGTCACCCCTTCCCTCTCTCTTCCCTCCTTCCCCCGCGCTCCCTGGGACCTGGGATAGACCACACATCAATCAATTCATCAAATACATTCATGTCACACTGGGGGCATTTATACTGGGTTGCAAATGCACAGCTTGGAATATCTATGATAACAGAGCAATCAGTCAACAGAAGAATGGGCACCTGCTGGCATAGCCATCTGTCACTAGTATTACAAACCACAGGTGTAAGTGTATGAGGTTGTCATATCAGAGGGTGGGACTTTACCTGCCCCACTTGACGTTGAGTCTGCGCCCGTTGATAATGAGCTTGTTGAAGGACTTCTCAGCAGCCAACTCTGCAGCCTGACGGGTGGCAAACTGGATGAAGGCACACTGCTGCCTCTGAACGATGGTGGTGGTCCGGATCTCCCCAAACTGGTAGAAATGGTTCCTGTTGGGAGGCACGCGGTTACAGCCCAACTGCCGCAACCAACCATCGTTAACATTCAGCAAAGCACAAGTGACTACATTCCATATGCTTCATTTGGAGTAAAACGTACTACATTAATTTCGAGTGGGCACTCACCTGAGCTCTGAGTCTGTGATGGAGTCTCCAAGTCCCCCCACATAAAGCGTAGTGATGGACTTGTCCTCTGGAGCATCCAGTCTAGGCATGGTAGAGGCCCTCTTCAGCAGCTTGTCAGCCACAGGGTCGTTGATACCATAGTAACGGTCCTTAATGTTCTGGTCTGCCAGGGGATCGTCAGGATCAGTTGGCTTCTCGTGCCTGGAGTTCAGTAGTTCACAGTTAATGAGAGTTAAAGCAAAACATATGGCAACAATCTTCTTATCTTGGACAAAGTAGATAATCAGACATTACATTTACTTTTCCCTTGGCTCATAAGTCAACAATTGCCTGATGTTTAACACGTGTGTCAAGTCTCTCTTTGCACCTTTGGTTTCATGATGTTGACAGTTGCTCACCTGTACGGACACTCTTCTCCTCTCTTACATTCTCCCTTCACCCAGAAGGAGCAGATGTGTGGTCTGTTCCTCTTGTAGTAAGGCGTGGTGCGGGCTAGCTTCAGCAGCATGTCACTAGAGCTGGGGACCTTACCCAGGAGACCCACTGGCCGGGTACCATCAGAGTTCCCTATCTGCAGTTAGGAAAGAGCTACTGTCAAGAGGGTGCATTTTGGTTCCATTAAAACTAAAGCCCGACCGATATGGGTATTTTGGGTCTGATACCGATTCTGATTTTTGGGGTGACAACTTACCGTTACATCTGCCGAGGAAATGAAAAGGCGAGATTTTTCCACACCGAGTTCTCATTAATTGTCAACCAAAAGAGCAAATGTAGAAGACAAAGGTTTCAAATGTTGACTTATTACATTGTGACAGTAATGACACATCAAGAATGGTCACAAGTGTTCAGATCTGTTTCCGGTGGGATTCATTAAAACACATGGCTTTCTTTTGCAAATTACTATGAATTAATTAACTTCTTTCTTCAAACTTGTCTATACTAAACATCATATTAAGGTGTGGGACATTCATTGTATGACAATAAATAACTAGCAGGTTTATTTCGCTCCAGTAGCTAGAATTTGTCTGTTCACAATTCAACTGTGGGAAAACGGCGGCTCTCAGTACCAGACAATAGAAAGAGCTGGCCGCTACTATACGAGAGATTGTTTGTGAGGAGATTACCTCTGCCCTCTACTTACAATTCAAACTGATAAATGAATCATTGGCAGTGCTCACTGCTAAAGTCGATACCTATTCAACAAGTATTCAGATAAGCATGATATTTCCTTTTAACATCCTATTGGTAAAAGGCCAATATCGGCTGATAATATCAGTGAAACTAAAATATATATCCGTCGGGCTCTAATTAAAACCAGGGTGTTAGATTTACCAGGATGAAGAATGAAATAAAGATGAATGGGCGGCAGGTAGCTTAGTGGTTAAGAGCGTTGTGCAAGTAACCGAAAGGTCGCTGGTTCTAATCCCCGAGCCGACTAGGTGAAAAATCTGTTGATGAGCCCTTGAGCAAGGCAATTAACCCTAATTGCTCATGTAAGTCGCTCTGGATAAGAGCGTCTGCTAAATGACTAAAATGTAAATGTAATGAAGGTACACAACTCAGACCAGAGGACCAAAGACCAGATATTTTTGGGTGGTACTAATAAAATCAGTGAGTAAACATTGTCTGGAATCTTTCCAAGGGAAAATGAGAAACGTCAAAGGGTGCTATCTGAACCTTCTTGGCATGAACATACTGTAAGGCTATTTACAAAGCAAGAGGAGTTATGACAGAATGTAAACGTTGATCTGTCTGGTAACATTACCGACACCATTAGACGTTTACTCACAGGACTCGGATCTTAATGTAGGAATGACCTTTTATCTTAAATAAGGAAAAATACATCACCTCTCTTTCCATGTTCTGAGTGTAGTATTCCTTGTTCACGTCTGATTTTGGCACGTCGTCCTTGATTGACAGCCCAGTGTCTCTGACCTGTATTGGCAAGCCTAGATGAAGGAGTAACGCCCATTTAGACAACAGCCACTCTGAACGTGTCTGAAGTGCAATCTCTCTCATATACCCGTACAACTCTGTGTGTGTTCATTCTCTGGATGGTAACAGGCATAACCTGGCCCAGAGGATGAGTGTTCCAAACACTGTCTTTGTTGACTCACCATACTCTAGATCCAGTAGGCACGTCTGACAGACATTCTTCATCTTACTGCACGTCTGGCACACCTCTGTCTTTTTGAATCGCATGCGGGTCCCAGGACACCATCGGAACACTGTGAAAGGTCTGGCACATATCTAAGCAGGACATAGCGGAAGCAGGGTGTGAGTCAAGATTGCACAGTTTCATACCCTGTACTAATAAGGTTCTCTAACTCTAGTGCTGGACAGCTGATGCATGTGCAGGCTTTCTTTCCAGCCTAGCAGTAGTTAACAAACACATCTGCTAGTGGTGGACCTGATTGAAGACCTTGATTAGGTAAGTTCTTAAAATCATGTGTGGGCTGGAACAATGGATTGCACACCCAGTATCTCCTCAGAACCTAAATTTGAGAACTCTACTATATGAGTAAACAGTGACTGATTATCCAACTAAGAATTAATTAACTTAATTTCTTACCTTGCACTCCTTGCCATATTTCTCCTTGGTCTATCAAACAGAAAGTGTGATACAGGGTGATTTTTTTATATATATATATAACTATAACTAGAAGAACATGCCAATCAAAATAACACGTTTCAGCCATAGAGATATGGTTTCAGCTAACGTTACATGGCCATATGAAATGTAGCAAAAATATGGTTAACAATTAGCTCCTACAGAACATTAACCCAAAGACAATTGATTAAACTTACCATTCGAATATAAGGATTCTCTCCAAGACATGTCTGGCAGAGAATAGGAAAATCCTATGTGGAAGGGAAGATTAGTACAGTATCAAACAAAACAATTAACGTCAGCTAGCAAACTTGCTAACGTTAGCTATAACCTATTTTTGTACACATTTTTAGCTAGTTATGTAGCTGTGAATGTTTGTTTTATTTTGCTAGCTTAACGACTTTGTAAACCAGCTAGAAACCATCTCTGATTTGCACTGTTATTATTGGGCGATTCCATGCCAGCTAACTAGATATCTATTAGCTAGCTAGGCGAGCTCACATGACAATAAGTTACTTGTCCAGTACAACGCTACCACCGCTTATTGACACAATCAATGTCACGGAATAACACGTTCCTTTAAAATAATTCAGATTAACTGAAAATGTAATTTCAAACATACCGCGTCCTCCCAATTTTGTCTGTTGTAAATATTAGCTCCTAAAGATGTTGCCATTTTCAAAAAGCTTGCTTCCCAGCATGCAACGCAGCAAAAGGCGTCTCACGCGATCAGACCAAAAACACACGCTTTTATTAAAGTGTATAACTATTATTTCACAGTCGAAACAACATCTTCAACAATTAATTATCTGTATGTGTATGATCATTTTAATGTGTATGGTGAATAATTCTACCCCGCATGGTTGTGCGTATATAGGGGTTGTTCATTGCGAAAAGCGGTAAAGTAATTTACCCCAAGTCTCTCATGTGGGCCTAGTTTTTTTTTGTTAAATGATGTGATCGGATTTCGGCAATCAAATAGGATTAAATGTTAGAATTGTTTTTTTTTTTACTTAAAAACATTAATTCTGATAAGGATTTGGTAACCCAATCTGACCAGACAGCTGATGTTCTGAAAGAGCTGCAAAATCTGGACCCCTACAAATCAGCTGGGCTAGACAATCTGGACCCTTTCTTTCTAAAACTAGCCGCCGAAATTGTCGCAACCCCTATTACTAGCCTGTTCAACCTCTCTTTCGTAACGTCTGAGATCCCCAGAGATTGGAAAGCTGCCGCGGTCATCCCCCTATTCAAATGGGGTGACACTCTAGATCCAAACTGTTACAGACCTATATCCATCCTGCCCTGCCATTCGAAAGTTTTTGAAAGCCAAGTTAACAAACAGATCACCGACCATTTCGAATCCCACCGTACCTTCTCCGCTATGCAATCCGGTTTCCGAGCTGGTCATGGGTGCACTTCAGCCACGCTCAAGGTCCTAAACGATATTATAACCGCGATCGATAATAGACAGTACTGTGCAGCCGTCTTCATCGACCTGGCCAAGGCTTTCGACTCTGTCAACCACCGCATTCTTATTGGCAGACTAAATAGCCTTGGTTTCTCAAATGACTGCCTCGCCTGGTTCACCAACTACTTCTCAGATAGAGTTCAATGTGTCAAATCGGAGGGCCTGTTGTCTGGACCTTTTGGCAGTCTCTATGGGGGTGCCACAGGGTTCAATTCTTGGGCCGACTCTTTTCTCCGTGTATATCAATGATGTCGCGCTTGCTGCTGGTGACTCTCAGATCCACCTCTACGCAGACGACACCATTTTGTATACATCTGGCCCTTCATTGGACACTGTGTTAACAAACCTCCAAACGAGCTTCAATGCCATACAACACTCCTTCAGTAGCCTCCAACTGCTCTTAAACACTAGTAAAACTAAATGCATGCTCTTCAATCGAACGCTGCTGGCACCCGCCCACCCGACTAGAATCACCACTCTCGACGGGTCTGACCTAGAGTATGTGGACAACTACAAATACCTAGGTGTCTGGTTAGACTGTAAACTCTCCTTCCAGACTCACATTAAGAATCTCCAATCCAAAGTTAAATCTAGAATCGGCTTCCTATTTCGCAACAAAGCCTCCTTCACTCATGCTGCCAAACATGCCCTCGTAAAACTGACTATCCTACCGATCCTTGACTTCGGCGATGTCATTTACAAAATAGCCTCCAACACTCTACTCAGCAAATTGGATGTAGTCTATCACAGTGCCATCCGTTTTGTCTCCAAAGCCCCATACACTACCCACCACTGTGACCTGTACGCTCTTGTTGGCTGGTCCTCACTACATGTTCGTTGTCAAACCCACTGGCTCCAGGCCATCTATAAATCACTGCTAGGCAAATCCCTGCCTTATCTTAGCTCATTGGTCACCATAGCAGCACCCACCCGTAGTCTGCGCTCCAGCAGGTATATCTCACTGGTCATTCCCAAAGCCAACACCTCTGGCCGCCATTCCTTCCAGTTCTCTGCTGCCAATGACTGGAACGAATTGCAAAAATCTCTGAAGCTGTAGACACTTATCTCCCTCACTAACTTTAAGCATCAGTTGTCAGAGCACCTTACCGATCACTGCACATGTACACAGCCCATCTGAAATTAGCCCACCCAACTACCTCATCCCTATATTGTTATTTATTTTGCTCTTTTGCACCCCAGTATCTCTATTTGCACATAATCTCTTGCACATCTAGCATTCCAGTGTTAATACTAATTGTAATTATTTTGCACTATAGCCTATTTATTGCCTTACCTCCATAACTTGCTACATTTGCACACACTGTATATATATTTTCTGTTGTATTTTTTGACATTATGTTTTTTTACCCCATATGTAACTCTGTGTTGTTGTTTTTATCGCACTGCTTTGCTTTATCTTGGCCAGGTCGCAGTTGTAAATGAGAACTTGTTCTCAACTGGCTTACCTGGTTAAATAAAGGTGAAATAAATAAATAAATAAATAAAAATAAAAGTATGTTGTTGTTGCGTCTTTCAAAACTCAAAGATAGTGATTAGGAAAATGTTGATACCGAAAATCTGGATTGTTTTGATCCCACTGGAAGGGTGGATTTAGAAAGGTGAAAGGCACTACAACCAATAAATGTTAATGTAACTAAGGTGAGGAGTTTAAAAAAACGTTCTTACATCTGAAAACCAAAGGTTAATTATATGAAATGAACTGCAGTATATGTAGGCTATGTGGTCAGTTGTTATATTGAGAAGTGTCAAGTAAATGCAAGTATATGGGTTATATAATTATTTTATCTTTGGGACATCCCTACCCCATTGAAGTTGAAATGTAAAATGCTTAAGGTTAGGGTTATGGCTAGGTAAGGGTGATGGATAGGGTTTAGGGTGTGTACGTCCCAAGGATCCCCATTAGCACTATTCATACCTTTATTCATGTGGTTTAGTCATCTCTGTTTTCCTATGACAGTGTAGAAGTAGTAGCATATCACAATCTGTCCAGTAGATGGCAAGGTGTAGGCCTGTTCAAAGCACTGAAAATCCGGATTGTGTGATCTTGATATTGTCGTATCTAGATCAGAATTATCCTATCTGATTATTTTCAGAAAAAACACCTCAAAAACCGCCAGATAGATCTTACCCTGGATAGCAAAAAATAGGATTACAAATCCGGATCATTCTGATCCAGATAAAAAGTTTTGAAAAACTGGGCCATGACCGTGATGATTAGCAGCATGGCATGAGCGGAGGTCAAAGATAGCCTACTATTTATCTGTGAGGCCATGAGAATAACCAAGATTAGGGATCAACACACTTAAGTATTTTAGTGATTTCATAAATGCATTATGGCAGGCACAGGTGTAAAGAGGCATGTTTCTGTTGAAGAGCAATGGACCAACTATCTCAGAGGACTTCGGGTCCCTGCCCCATTAGTGTCAGAAGGTATCTATATAGTATGAAACCCATGCCTTCAGAGAGAGAGAGAGAGAGAGAGAGAGAGAGAGAGAAGAGATACAGATTATTGTGATTCTTATCCCATCGTGAATGTTCAGTGGAATGCCATATAAGCATAATTGATTTGAGTAATTTTTATTTACAGCCTATATTTAAACAAAACAACAATACAACAAATATATATTTTTTCAAAACATAGAATGTTGCAATTAGACTCATCAGTTGTTGACGTTTTGTTTTTAGAGTGGGGGGAAATCACTCGAGGTTTGTTACGTCATCTGGCGACCTTCTTCTTCTTCTTCTTCAGTGGGGTTTATCGGCGGTTGGCATCCAACATTATGGTGCATTACCGCCACCTACCGTACTGGAATGTGGGCCAGAGACATGGAGAAAAGTAATCCTACCTGCCAACCCCGTTTCTCTTAAAAAAGATAACAAAATATTTGAGACTATATCTAATGCCGTTCTGCTCAATATACTCTTTAATCTAATTTCCTGTATCCTCTTCTCCCTCATACTAAATCTCATCCTCTCTATTTCCCTCTGATACTGCCCACACTGTAGCAATACATGCTCGACAGTCTCTATTTCCTGACAATAATCACACTTTCCTGATGGATGCTTTCCTATCACGTTTAATGTCTTATTCAACTGCCGGTGTCCCACCCTTAACCTTGTAAAAATAGCCTCCTCTCTTCTGTCCATTCCTGCCGTCCTCCCCTCCCCGACTTTCCTCTGTACTTGAAATAAATGCCTTCCCTTATTATTTCTATTCCACTGCTCCTGCCATCTCTGCACCATCACTGTATATATCAGTATTTTTGTCTCTGCCTTGCTCAGTGACACTTCAACATCCCCACTACTAAGTGCTTGTTTAGCCTGTTCATCTACTGCCTTGTTCCCCTCCACCCCCACATGGGCTGGAACCCAAGTAAATCTAATCTGAATACCCATCTGTTTAATCCTGCCATGGGTTTGCAGCACCTCATAAAGCAGGTCTTGTCTGCTACCTGAGCTAAAAGACTGGAGACTCATTAACACTGCACATGAATCAGAGCAAATAACTATTCTGTCTGGCTTAACTTCCTCCACCCACTGCAAGGCCAACAGTATGGCCATCAGCTCCGCCGTATATACAGCCAGATGATCTGTAATACGTTTCCTGACTTCCACCCCACATTCCTGCACTACAAATGCTGACCCAGTACGTCCTGTCCTTGGATCTTTTGAACCATCTGTGTAAATGGCCACAAAATCCTGATACACAGTTTCCAGACGTCTCTTAAAGAAATCAGCTGGATCAACCCCCTCCCTATCTTTCTGTAGTCTCTCCAACACTTCTAGATCAATTACTGGAGGCGGGAGTAGCCCCATCTGGCGACCATTCGGTACTCTACGAGAAGGCGACCAGGGGTGTATTCATTGCGTATTGAAACGGAAACCGTTTACCTTTAAGAACCAAACAGAGCAAACGGAACGAAACGTTGCGGGACCTACCTGAATTTGTCCAATAGAAACGTTTTCGTTGCAAAGCATTTCCCGTTTGGAGTAAACGGGTTCTGTTGTAAAACGTTTAACAACAGAATCAGCTTAATAAATATACCCCAGTAGAAGGAGGGCGGCGAGGCCACTCGTGTTTCTCTCGCCCACTAGGAACAGTCTATATCTAAACCGGGACGCCCCAATTCTAGTAAAGCTACTGCCTAAAGCCGAACTTCAAATCCTTCTTTTATACACCAAGTGTTGGTCGTGTCGATGAAACAATC